ATACCAGCAGGCAAAATAGAGAACGGCACAGACACAAAGATAAGGAAATTCGGAGACAATCAATCCGGTAACGAAGGCAACCCATGAGTACATCTTAGACTTCTTTTCACGAGCATCGTAGATATCACGGCGCTGTATGAACAATGGCTGAAGTTGGTTAATAACACCAGGCGCAACGAATACAAAGTTGAAAATTGTGAACATCTTCAATTGTAGAGCTGATACACTGGGGCCTGTGTGCCAGAAGGAAAATCCGTTGAGCAGCGCCGAAATAATATGTAATGAGAACTTGTTATTGACGTAGTTGGTGTTCCGGAACATGGCGACATTCATGCGATGTGTAACAATCTTGACTTGGTCCCACAAGGGCATCGAGAACTCATAGCCATCATCGTGGGTTCCAGGGGGCTTCGCAGCGGCATCAGCAATCAAACGATCGAGCTCAACCATCATACGCTCATGTTCTGGGGATTCAAGCCAGATTTGATGCCAGTCCTTATCTTTCACCTCTTCGATTCCTCCAGTCACCACATCAATCATAAACTCAGCCGGGTTCGCCTCAATTGGGCATGAAGCACCGTACTTGCCAAAGTATTGTTTGATCGCTGCACCGTTGTCACCAATATCACCGAAATACACCGTCTTTCCACCCCTGGCAAGCAGGAGTAGAGTATCGAATTGAGCGAAAAGCTGAGCAGAGGGCTGATGAATTGTTACTAGCACGGCTTGACCGACGTCTGCAAGCTTCCGAAGGAACCGGACTGTGTTATAGGCCGATTGTCCATCTAAACCAGACGTGGGTTCATCCAAGAAGATTAGGATACTAGGCTTCGATACCAACTCCACTCCGATAGTGACACGCTTTCTCTGTTCAACGCTAAGTCCATTGCCGACCGTTCCAATCAGGGTATCTGCCAGGTCGTGAAGCTCAAGTAGGTCAATGATAGTGTCAACATACTTGAGCTTTTCTTCTCTGGGAGTGTCTCTAGACTGTCTTAGTAGTGCAGAAAATTCCAATGCCTCTCGGACGGTTGCGAATGGCTCGTGGACATCCAATTGCTCGCAGTAGCCCGCCATTCTTTGAAATGAAACAGGCAGCTCACGGCCATCAACCAGAACTGAACCCTTGATTGTGCCTTCGGTTTTGCGCTGAGCAAGAACATCAAGCAATGTCGTTTTGCCTGCGCCGGAAGACCCCATCAAGGCACCTAACATACCAGGCTTAACCCATCCATGGATATTGTCCAGTAGAACCCTTTCGCCAGTGGGTGTATTAACCGTGTATGTAAGGTTTTTCCAGGTGAATATAGATGTATTGTGTGTCAGATTCCCCTCATCAACAGAGGTCAGCGCATCACCAGAGCCCTTCTCGCGTGCGGGATCTTTCTCTTTCTGCGCCTCTGCATCCATATGGGCACGGTGAGCCTTGAGCTTCTCCCGAGGTATAAGGAGAGACGCCCCAGCCCCGGCTCCACCCTTCCAGAAAGAGGTACAAATAATTGTCACCACGGCGAAGAATCCCCACCATCCCCAGAGGACGCCATAGTTGCGCCACATCTGCGAATGTTTATAATGAAGGGAAAGGAGATACTGATCGCCAGTGACGTAATCGGCGCCAGGAAGAGCACCTCCCACACCTGTACAGGCCTTATTCGCAGCGCTGACATTTTCGTATCCCGGCCCACTGGGCACAAGGTTATTTCCAACACAGGGAATAGTTTGGCCGTGGAATTCGTTCGATAGGGCCGCTTGGAACGCATAGGCAAATGGGTTCGTATAGTACAACTCAAGGAACCAGTTCTTAATGTGCCCTTTGGGGATCATGTAACCGGCATACATGACAATGCCCTTGACGGCGGTTCCCGAGATCTTTGACGCAGCCTCAAATGTACTGAAGCCAGCGCCAATACATCTGAACAGGGCTGTGATGCACAAGGTGGTGGTAAAAAGAATGGCCCAGAAGGTGAAGAAGGCGGCTGCAGTATGTTTCAAGCCCGTCATCCAGTAAATCACAATGGCGAATAGAGTGCATTGGACCAGAAGAACAGGAAGATCAGCAGTAATCTGGGCAAGGCAGAAGGCGGACGGGTGATACATTGCGAAGGACTTGTGCTTAACTAGCACAGGGCGGCCCTTAAATGATTCGGTAACTTCGGACATGGCAACGATACAGTTGTACAAGAGCGCAAAGAAGACAGCACCACCCTTTGTAAATAAACCAGCGGTTGTATCAGGGGAGTTGTAGAAGCAGGATCCAGCGATAAGAGCCATAGCAACCGATAGTACCTGTTTTATGAGAAAGGTAGACTTCTCACCCCACAGAATCTGATATTGGCGAATCGTACAAGCGATAAGCTGATCCCAAAAACCAACGGTGAGAGTGCTACTATTAGGAAGGTGCTTTGCCTTTTCCCAGGCCACGGACTCCTTAAACTCTTCCGTCCGCTGTCGGGCAGCGTCAGAACGAGTATAGTCATACTCCCTAGTCATAGTCTGGTACAACGTGGATCGCTGGTATTCTGCCAGAATCGCCTCAGCATTCTTTGGGAATCGGTTCTCAAATCCGGGTCGGATCTTTCGCTCGGTCGGGACAGTCACACCGGTCAAATAGTCACCTGGAATTCCGATCAGTATATATCCAACACATACAATTTTTGGAGAAAATGAGTTGCATACCAACATTGGCGCCGTCGGAGTACACAAAGCCCAGATCCTCCATGAACGGCTTGGCAGAGGCAGCTGGGCCATAGTAGATCTGTTTTCCCTCGTCCAGCACTAGAACCTTATCGAAAAGGTTGTAGATACCGTTTCCAGCCTGGTAGAGGGTCACGATAGTGGAGAGACCCATCACATTGGTCATTGCTCTCAGGGCTTTGGCCCACTCCAAAGCTGTGCTTGCATCAAGGCCTCTGGTGCTGTTGTCCCAGGTGAAAACAGAGCCATTCGTAGCCATGCATTCGATGATAGAAACTCTTTTTCTCTCACCACCTGAGACGCCGCGGACGAATTCATTACCGACCTTCGTGTCGGCAGTGTGAGCAATCTTCATGGATTCTAGTAGAAACTGTTTTGTCTCGGCAACATAATCGTTAACTGATTTAGCCTCAGCGGGAAGATGAGCCGGGACCTTGAGCTTAGTTGCAAAATCCATGGTTTGTCCAACGGTTAGACGAGGGTAAAAAAGCTCTTCCTCGGTATTCATAACAATCTGACCCCGGTAATGAGCTGCTTCCTCCGAATTCATGCTTCCAAAAGACACATCACCGTGGATAGTGTGATATCCCTCGCGTCGGTTGGCAAGCATCTTGAGCAGTGTAGTGCAGCCCGACCCCGGCCGACCCAAGACCAGCAACATTTCGCCGGGTTTCACACAACCATGACTATCCTGCAAGATTGCCTTGAGAGGTGGCTTCCGGCGCCAGTCCTGAATGAGCTGAATGATGTTATACTGAGTCAACTGGTTTTCCTTGACTGCGGCCTCGGCGGCCAGAACTTCAACAGTGAGGTTCTGCCATGTTACGCCCAGCTCACGCTTTTTGTAGCCTGCCGCTTCTGAACGTTCCTTGTTCCGAATGACCTGGTCTGTCATACTCCATTCCGCATCTCTACCGGGAGGAGGGGTGATATGTGGGCTGCCGTGGACGGCAAGGGTTTCGGCACTGGTGGCTTCACGAACGTTGTTGTCTGGGACACCGAGGGTTGGCTTTTCGCTATATGCTTCGAACTCTTCGCCAGATTGGTCTCCATATTCGGTCGGTGCTGTTGAGGCTGGAGGGGCCTCATCGTGAAGATGGAATTCCATCTTGCACGTGCGGTTGTTGATGATAGCAACAGTAGGATGAGAAAGTTTGGCTCATGCACGCAGATGAGGACGGCCGGATATTGATATTCAGTTGATATAAGTATAGTCTATGCTCTGATCCTTTCTCAAAAGGGAGTAGCGAAAAGTGGGAGAGGCTATGTATATGTACAATTCCTAAAATATGGAACAGAGCCGTCAAAAGTGGGAATGCTTGGGGGAGTGCGCCTTTGTCAACACACTAGAACAGTCCCACCAAGCATATTCTTGTGATTATCGTGTTCCCACATAGCCCCAACTGGGTAAAAGACGTGCTCAAGCCGACTATCCGGGCAGAGAGGCTGGTGAACGATAAAACAGCCAAGACATGGCAGTCCCTGACAGTCTCGCAGAATATAACGCATATCTGCCAAAGCGGATCTGAGGGTATCTCTTCCGCAAAATGCTGCAGCCTGATTTGCGAGTTTGTGCTCCATATAGTTCGTAGTCCAGATATTCGACATTCTAGAATCTCGTTATTCGTGGCCAAGTACCCCACTGTGTTTGGGGATAACTGCTACAAATCCATATTTTGTCGGGTATGAATGCGGGAAACATCCCGATCGAGCCGATCTGCCACATTAGATTTCATGAGCCACATAGCTGGGTCCAGGAGCCACATGGGACTTATGCCATGTGGGGCTACCCATGTCTTGCTAATGTAATGTTTCTGTTTCATATTCTCGAGCAAGATAAGAAAAACTCCACAGTGTGGCGCCCTGCCGCGGTTGATCGGCCTAGTCTTGGCTGCCGATATTTTTCGGCCTCCCGACTCGGCAATGCCCGCGTGGAGCTCCACGGCTATTAAATTATATCGTCATCTACTTTTCAAGCAAGAAATCTTTCACAAGATACTTTGGTCAATAAATCCTCGAAATAAACATGGCGAAATATACAGCGAGTTGACATAGAATAATTCAACTCTCGCACAGCACCTCGCAGTGGAATAATACTACTATTCCCTGCCAGTTGGCTACAAAAGCGCAAGATATCAGTCGAGTTTTGAATCCTGGTGTAGGCTAGAATGAAGTATATTATTTGCAATGCGTTAGTAATTCTCTCCAGTTTGTCGCTGCTACGTCACTATGTTTAAGCAGAGATCTAAAAATCGATACATGGATAGCTACAAGTGCAAGAAGGCGATAGCCCACACAAAGGCCTATTTTATTGTAAAACATATGCTCATTCATCATCCAAGTCAAACATAGTAACACTAAACCTGAACAAGTATAAACATTGGGCTGCTATTAGTCCAAATAAAGTGATTTGGCGGAAATATATCAAGTGCGCTCCGTAACAAGTCCTAGCTAAATATACATAATCATAACCCATAGATATTGGGTACGCTTGGCGCAAACGCATCCTCAAATGACGTAGTCATGTAGTCAAAACCCGATAGGAAATCAGTACTATTGAAGTCAAAAGGATTATCTAGCCAATGCTGTGATGCTTGCCATGGCAGAATATTTCCCCCGTCTTCCATAGATATATGCGGCGTAAATAACCCGGCTGGCGTTTGCGGCATTGATGATTCGGTTTTGAAACTTGGACTTTGCTGTGGCAAACTTGCAGTTGGCAGTGCTAGTGAATCCTGTCCAACAAAATCTTCCGATGTGATAGATGGAAAACGTATTGTTTGCGCAGTCTCAGACGTAGTATCGACTGACTCCGGACTTGTCCTGTACTCTGTATTCTGTGTATTTTCCAACTCATTTTCTAACAGACGACGTTCTGGCTGTCCAAGCACTCCCAAATGGCAGAGTATGTCGTGGGTTAGCGGATGGCCATGATCTTCGCATCGTAAAGGTGCTCCAGGCCACCCTTCACCGCGTGCTATATGCCGATATAGTTTCTGTAGTGCATATACTAGCCATTTTTGCTGATCTTCTAGCATCTTGGCGTATCTGTGTTGCGAAACGCTCGTTAGCTACGGAGGTCACAAACCACTCAAGAGAACAACACCCTGCCATACGAGACATACTCACCCGCTGGGATACACTTTTTCACGGCCCGACTTCCTCTCTCCATAGTTACAGTTGGTCTTGTCCAGCGTACAGCGGCCACAGGGGCTTTCCCCATCGCACTGTGAATGTCAGCGCGTTGCGAAATGGCGCACACTGGGCTTTTCATCATGCGTACCTTGGCTTTCTTTGACCTACATCGGTCGCATGCCTTACATACTCGCTTGCGAGGACGATTATCGGAAGCAGGGTCTTGCACAGAAGACGTTGACGCTTGGCGTTTGTTCATTTTGATCCTGAGGCAATAGTGATTCAGCCTCACATCTTCAGAGTGATGCTTATCGGACAAGCTAGTTTGATAATTCATGGATAGGGATAGATAGGCGGTCATTAGTCATATGTGCAAGATTTATGCACATCGTTGGGTAAGTCTGCTTCCGGGCCCGCAAAGAGCCACATTAAATGTGGGGATTTTGCAAGATCAGAATATATAATTGGCCGAATGCCGCCACTTCGCAAGTGCAGAAAACCTTCATGGTGGATCCATGAGGGCCTCGGTGTTCTGGCCGGATTACGTGATCATCCTATCAAACATCCGTACTCCGTAATCTGTACGTTGTGAGTGTCTCCCACCACCAGCAAGTAGATCTGAGGCATAACCGTGCAGAGAAAAAGGGATTGATCTCCTAAGTTTGACGAAGTTTTTGTTTCGGAAAGCTCTCCGAGTTTTGATCGTGGAGCCGATTTTTACTTCTTGTCAGTGTCTTCATGGTCACTCTTCGTAGGTGCAATCACGCCTTTTCCCTTATGTTCCCCCCTTTTCTTTTGGAAAGTCATATTCTGCTTCGTAGAAGGCTAGTTGTGGCATCCAATCCACCTAGAGCCACACAGTGAATGAGTTGGAAAATAGGTCGATCCTTAACCAAAGCCTATCTAAGTGCAAGTTATATGTTTATTGTGTACTCGATAGAATGTTTCCTAAATATCTCTAAGTAGAGCTCACGCTAGAGTCCTGTTCATCTTTACTAGCTTATGAGATTGGTCACTTGCGTTTGTGCAAGGATATTCTTGCAGGGGGTAAATTGAGCTAAAGAGATATATATATCTATCTCCATTCTATTCACCCAGTATGAGAACGTTTATTTGGTACACCTCCAGGAAAGAGGGCTACATCCATAGGGTAGATTTCGCTATGCTAACCTGAGCTTAATTCATATTCTAGGAATCTAGAGTGCTTTACGGAGTACCTTAAGGTCAATTGTCAATATGTCGGCTCCGCGGGAAGTCGGCACCGTTCTGTGGAAGATCCCCCAAATGCTATCGATAAGCGCACAGAGGCGGTTAACTGCGGAAGAGGGTTCATTCTGTAATCAAACCGAACATTCCCATTCTAGAATAAAAACAAAACAGACAAACTTTTTCAAATGGAATCTGCCCGGTTGGTTGGTGACGTTGAGATCGGGCCGAGACCCGGCACAAGATCCCGAACATTGCAACATCAGCATTCCAGAAGATGATTGATTACCTTTTACTGGTTTATAAACCTTGCCGAGGTCCGCGGTGCGCACACTAAGAATCAGTAATGGTTTCTTAGGGAATTTGGATATGTTGCTTTTAATATCCAACTAGTCCGTACCTCTACCAACTATTACTCACACTTTAGTTGTAACCTGCTGGGCAATACTTCAGCCCTAAGGGGCTATTGCAAGTCAATAGTGACAGCATCATTAGTAGTAGAGTCAAAATGCTGACTAAAAATAATCTTTATCCGGAAAACACTCCGAGTTACCCGATTGTCATCCTAACATTCAAGATATCTTCCTTGGTTTGCTTATTATAAGTTTTATTCTTTAAGCGGGTAGGCTACTGGCTTTGCGGAAACAGGACTATGGCCCAGCGAGTATCCTGCCCACAATGCAATAAAACATTTTCCAAAAGAGAACATTTAAATCGACACCGGCTGTCCCGTAAGCTCTTGTTTGTCCCGGATGGATTGCCAGTATTTAAAACATCGAAGACAGGGGCTAAATACTAGATGAATTGTTCTAAGTCTAGATACGGGAGAGCGGCCTTTTCAATGTCAGATCTGCTCCAAGCCATTCTCTAGGAGGTGACGGCACCCGACGATTTGGGAAGATGGTTGGATTGATGGCTAACTGTTATAATTAGAGATGTACTCCTGCGTCATCAACGAGGCCATCTTGAATTGGCGTCATCACCATCGAATTCAAATGTGGCTCGCTTAAACAGAAAGAGAGCTTTGCGCGATGAATTGGCTGAAGTGTCCGGCTATGAAACGAGTGAGGAAGTCGCAAGCTATGCCGCGGCTCAAGTATGATAATCATAGTTATTCATGAATTACCCGAATAATGTGGCTATAGCTAACATGGCGCAGCAGACGGGGGGAAACATTGTTGGTGCTGGGTCACGATCAAGTCCACTGGCCTTGTCGCCATCTGATCATGCATATGAGCCTAACAGAGGGTTGTTGCATGATTTACCTGTGAGGCCGCAGACAGTTGCCTGGGATGGAGGTCCCACAAAGATGCTTCCTTCTTTAGCTGCACCTAGCCTGTCTCCATCGCATGTGCATACCGATGGAAGGGGTGGCTACGGCTCGTACCCAACAGTTGGCCAGGCGTTACTCCCGGTCGCCGACCAGGTTCACTTGCCAACTGGAACGATATCAGAATTCAACCGCAGCCCACTCATGTTTGGTGACATAGACTCTGGGGCTGCCTTCCTTGATATGTTGCTGGGTCTCCCCGGTGGCCAAGAGACGGGAACGACAAGTGCCAATACCGAAAAATTAGCTATACCTTGGACCGAGAATGGAACTTCGCATCCGCTGACTATTAGTCCCCCAGTTGAAGGCGGATCAAGGAGCTATCCTGCTCATATCTGTCAGAACGTGAAAAAGGTCCAAAACTTCTGGTCGACACCGCAACGCCTTACGGCCGAGACGCAGATCTGGTACGAAATAATATCGGGGTCATCAGACAATATCTTTTCAAGACATGACTATGGGCCATGCACGGAATCGCCGCAACAGGCACAGCACGCTGGACATGCCGAGATCTGCTTAAACCATGAAATTAGGTCACAACTTCAAAATTTGAAACGAAGTCTGCTTAAGAGACAATGCCACTGTTCTAGCAGTGATGGCCAAATCACTGACACATGCGATGAACATTATTTCTGTGAAAACTTTAATGGCATCTTTGAACAAGGCCTTTATCTTTATTTAGATAAATATCAACCTACGTATCCTATACTGCACGTCCCTACTTTCAAACCGCAGACCGTCCACACACTTCTGCTGTTTACTATGTGCATCATTGGCCTGTCGTTTGTCAAGACAGAGGAGGCAGTGCGGTTTATTTATCACATATACCCGGTACATTCGGATTCACTTTTTGAGCCCCCAACGTGCAACTAACTCGAGCCTCGGTGCGCCCTTAGGCACTCTTAGATGAAGTTTATATACGCGTTATATCCACGACTCCCAATGTCTCCAAACCATCGGCGATGTTAAGTCACCTTACATTAGCACATCACATGTTATTTCTACTCGTCGTGACAGAGGTTTGTTATAACGTCCCACGATGTCTGGTGGATTCCGCGTCTAATGACTCACAGGGCAACATTTGTCCAACTAAGTCGCAGATGCTGTATGGATACACTCTAACGGTAGATCCTCTTTCTCTCTTGAGTTTGGACTGTGCATCGTAGTACATATAGCTGATAAACAATATAGGCAGCCCAAAATCTCGGCCTGTTTCATTTAGACGTTGGACAAATCTCAGCCTCTCTCTTCTCAACTACCACCGATGACCATATCCGATGGAAATTATGGAGTCGAATAGAGTCAATAAAAAAGTACTGTCTTCCACATATCCATTTATGAACTCGTCTAAATATCTCTTCAGCTTAATCATCGGTCTCATCCTCTACGACACATCCTTGGCCGGAATATTCTCAATGAGCCCTGTCATCTCAACAAGTACACTCCACGTCGCCCTTCCATGCGACTTCGCCCTCTACCGTGCCCAATCCACACACAACTGGATAGCCTTACTCCAAAAAGGCTCCAATATCACCACCCCGACAGTAAAACTATCACACAACGACTTCTACCTCCCAACCCTCCCCCACCAAGTCCACATCTCATGCCTCTACGGAATAATGTCCGCCATTCTCGTCCGCCTAACAGCAAACTACCACCGACTCATCATCGGCTCCGACCTCAGCCAAGCAGATTGGCACCAACACATACCCTGGCGGATCTACAACCTCGATAAACGCGCAACTTCAATAACTAATGTGGTTATACATTTCATCCAACTTTACGATACCATCCTAGCTAAATCAAACCCAAACTGCATCGTTATCTGGCATAATCTATGTCTCCTCTTAACAGCCGACATCCGTCTCCATGAACGTGCTGCCGGCCGAGAAGGTCCCGAGGCTATGCAAACCGCCCGACGGGCCATCAGTCTTTGGGCAAAGACTCCCGCTGCACGTCGGGCGTGTCTACATGCCGCCCAGATTTTTCATACCCTTTCGAATTGGAAGCCGATGGATGGTATGGGATTCCAGCCTGCGCGGTGTTTGTTGAATTCTGCGCTTGTTCTTGCGTTGTATACATTGGTTAGTCCGGCTGGAGTTACGGAGACGAGACACACGAATACGTTCGATCTCGCCACGGCTGATATTGATTGGAAGGTTGTAGGTGACGAGGGCATGACTGATAGTGTTTCTGGGGAAGGTCAACCTCAACAGTCAAGGACGGATGATCCTGCTGTCAACTTTATTCGCTTTGGGGGCCCGGTTGTTTTATGCGGGAAAACGTATTTCGGGGGCGCTAGTTATGCGCGGAGACTTTTGTTGGATTTTGCGAGTCTTTTGGATGAGGTTGGCAGGCATTGGATGGCGAAATATCCGAGGCTTTTGTATATGATTCATGATACCATGGTGGATGTGGATATTGGTGGTGAGATGAGGGACAGAACTACTTGAATTAGGTCCTGGTTGGAATGTTTAGTAGAGTTTATGCCGTATTGCCTGGTGAAGTATTTCAGCATAATTTATATTAGAGGATCAATTCTGTAGACTAACACTCTGGTCGACTCATGGTAGCTGTAGTACCTGCAAACCTTGTAGGCTTTGAAATTTTGTGACATGTAATGCATGCAACACACCCATAAAGGTCTCTTCCAATTCCATACATCAGAACGGACATTCAGGACCTTAACATGGGTCTCACTTTGGTATAGAGAAGGGGCAGCAGCGCTGTAAGTTGTGCATGCTTCACCCCGACTCCAACAACGCCTTAATCAATGCTCATACAAAGAAGGTGAGTCTACCATACTCAAAGTTCTCATTTTGTTCAAGGGCGGCAGAACTCCTCTCCTCCATAAGCTCCAATCTGAATGGCCTGGCCTCATCCATGGTCACATACCGAGTATTTAAATTATCGTACAGCATATCCTGAAGTTTTTGTGGGAGTGGCCGGAGAGCTTGCTGAATGGACATTATCCTCTCTATATCCCAATCCTCTTGTTGTGGTGGCACGTGTGACGACGAGATGATCTGTAGATGAGGATCAACTAAAAACAACGCCAGGATTTTGCGATGACCAGGCCTGGAACAGTCTGCCAATGAGAAAGGGGATACTCGATGCTGCAGAATGTTTGGGAACGTAAAAAGACGCCCTTCCTTTGTGACTAGGCTACCAAGCTCTTGAGTGAGATTCATAGTTTCGGTCCCGAAGGCACTTTCGGGAAACCCGAAGACCTTTTGTAACATCTGATCATGTTCTTCCCCGCAGTTAAGCCAATACATATTTGTAATTACACGTTGACGGAAAGAGAGTGTGTTCTCGGTGATATTTTCGCTGTCGTAGCAGTAGATTGATGTTGCGCAGATGTGCTCATTCTGCATATGCTCGGTTAGTTAAGTGAGCCGAAAGCAATTGAGCGCGGGCGGGGGGAGGGCGAATAATAACAGCAAGTACAAGAAAAGGAAAGGAAAGGCAAGGATTAAGATGAGGACGAAAGCCTAATACTTACTAGTTGCCCTTTCACATGCCATGACCCCCCAGGGTATTCGGGTTTCTCAGGCGTTAACTCGATGTTAGCCAGCTTGACTATTATCTGCAAGCCCGTCGAGCGGAAGTCATGTAGGCCAATTTTCAACCTATCAACCCTAGGTGGTGGGGAGAATTTCTCAGGATCAGGAATCTTAATAACCTTAATTGGCCGTGACTGTGGCTCTCCCACGACTCGTTATCAGAGCTCTCTTCGCCAAAGTCTGACTCCTGTTTGTCGCTGTCACAAGCCTCATACTCCACTCTATTATATGGGATTCGCCAATAGTCATGGTTCATGTAGGTCAATGTTGTATTCCAGAGTGGAAGAGCCTGGGCGATGATTTTCTCGATGATATGGTAGAGGTGTGCATTCTGCTGCGGGTGAAGATTGTTGATATAAGATACTATGGCGCATGACCCATTGTCGAGGAGATCCACGTCGCAAGGCAGCCACTGAAACTCCCAGCTATAATTTTTAAAGCTGTCGGATGTTAAGTCGTCTTCGGCTGGAACAAGAAAAACTGTTTCTTGTCCGACGGTATCCAGGCAACTCTCAAGTTTAATCAAAGAATCAGAGATAGCTCTTGTTCGGCCAAAGACGACCGGGAAAAGGGATGGATGTACAAGGTCTACAATCCTGTCATCGGAACCTGGATGATAATCCTTTTCTGTAAGACTATCTTCCAGCGTTCGCACGCCATCTTTCAATGCGTTCTGTAGTTCCTCTGAGATTGCAGTGTCCGACTTGACGACTCCAGGATCGAAGACGACAACAAAGCCAGTAGTAGAATAGTTCTCCGCTTTCCATTTCACCTCATCTATGATCCAGTCTATCATGTTAGGGGTGATGCCTTTGTCAGTATCAATAATCTCGCTGCGCCATTTGGCGGTGATTGCCTTGTCAAAGACCTAAAAGACTGTCAGTCTATTTCGTAGTCACTCTACCAGTAGTGATGATAAACATGTGTTACCCTACCTGCCGGTCCCACCCAGGCTCGTCCGTGATAGCATTTATGACTCTCATGATGAGGATTTCTCGATATGTACACAATCGTCTGTCACAAGAATCAGCAACACGATGTGTTTTCGGAGCTGTCCTACCTTACTCAGTAAGCTCGATGTCATCCTGTCGCAGAACATGCGGGAAGCTGCATTCCGGGAAGTCAGATTAGCAATCTAACGGTCGGCCAAAGCCAGGAAGCTCTGCTTTGGTCATTGTCGTGTCGCAATGTAACCGGTATCGGAGCTATGAACTATCACTGTGGTGGAAACGTCCATATCCCTGAGACATGGTAGGTAGCCAAGTGGAGCCTCGGGGACGATACTGCGCGACAGGAGTGGGTGCGTATTGAATCATGTTCCAAAGAGGTTGAACTTGCGCTAGTAACATTGACCTCAGGCAAGGTAAGCAGTTTACCATACAAGGATAATGATCTCTACTACTCATATTTCCCTATAGTAAAGCCTTAACTTTGACCGAGACCAATGTTACTAGCGCGAGTTCGATTGCCTTAGCAACACAGCCTACATTAAGCACCCAGCATTCACCACCGTCAAAATGCCCAGGCTAAGCACTTCCTTGTGAGGTCGAACCCAAGATATCACGGATGCTATATGTTCTTGAAGAGACTTCTGCTGCAGCATATCCTCATACACGTTCAAGTTGGGAGTCATCTCATACACAGTTTCCTACCTTGTTGCTATATAAACAGCCCTTAGGACAATAGATCTTGTTGCATACTATCCCTGGCGCTCTGTGGATCGCCGAAACCCCCCGATGGTGGAGGCTCTGGACTGGAGTCCAACAGTGTGGAAGATTTACCAATATTTAGAGCGGTTATAGAGTCGCCTTTTGTCCTTTATGCAATGCTTTGGTACTTCTGGTGGCGATACCCAGTGCCATGCATTGGCGTCCGTGATGTGCGATGCATGCAGTCACCTGATCTCCGAGGAAATAAGGCTTTGTCTATAGCGTCGGACCAGGTGTGGAGAGTACATTGGAATGACTTCCTATCATGTGCATGATAGTATGGAATAATTCTGGTGCAATTGTGCGGCTTGCTATAGCCTTGGGAGTTTTACGGGAGATGATAGAATAGTATCAGTTAGACTGGAAATTCTGAATTTGCATTACATAAGAGGGGAGAAAGATAATTGGTTGCTATCAGACTATATTGATGCAGTATTTCTCCTTTCTGGGGAACCTTCCGATGAACGTTAACGACCCTCTTGTAGCAATTTGTGTGAAGTGGTCGGATTAGGGTTAAATATGCCAGGGTTGGTTCTTCTCTTACTACCATTTTATGGGCCCGGGTTTCTATGTGCCCAGAAATCTAGGACCTGATCTGAGAAGCGCTGATCAGTAATATGCTTGAGCGAACTGACCTCTGGAAATAAAGGAACCTTTTCAGGTTTGAGTACTATCAAGTCAAAGGCTCCGGCAGTGTTTGCCGAGGGTACTCAGGCATACTGTGGTGAGCGTGGACCGGGTGAGCCCGAAACAGAATGTTTGTAAATGGGGAAAATTTGTGACCAGGCTTTCAAAGTCACTATTTGAGAAATAAGGTGCCGCCCAGAAAGATCAAGTGGTTGATTGGTCCAATGACTAGTTCTCTCAGTTGCGTTAGCCTGCCGAGAGACAGAAGATCCTCATTCGACATCACTTCCATACGGTCGTGGGTGAGAATTTGAAGGCTGCGCAGCCCTATTAACTTGGAGGTGTGTCGAAATGCGGTGCTGCCGAGGAAAGTAGAGTCGCTCCTTTCACTCAATTCGAGCACTAAACTGAGGTCCCGTACTGATCCTACCATCTGTAATAGCGACGGAAGGGCATCATCTGTCACCGTTATTTGTAGACATCGCAAAGCCACAAAAGGGGATGGGCTGCTCAGGGTTTCCAGTAGACAAATATTGACGACTGCGTCGATGTAAAGGGTGTGCAGATTATTACACTCCGCCAAAGAATTAAAAATATCTGCTGTCATCCATCTGCACTGGTAGCTCAAAGAAAGCAACACGGTGGACACGGTAGCATTGTTGCAGAGAAACCTCGGGAGGACCTCTACTGTAGGATGAGGGTCTACATTCATATTGAAGATATTTAGCGTCCGTAACTAGGAACAGTACGTTTGGAGAGAAGCAAGTAAGTCTGCGTCAAAGTGTCCAGCGACCTAAAGATATTGCAGCCCCGAATGCAAGTATGGTTGAAGATTATAATTTATCTTGTAAGACTAGCGACCCTGGACTTGGATCTTCTTCATCCGTAGGACGGGTAAAATTGATCGTGAGACTGGTCAATTTCGGAAAGGTGAGTTGTCCCAATAAACATGGATGATTTACTCTTCTTGCCCCTTACCCGCCAAGTAATGAACATCGCGCGTCGGCATAAACTTGTCACGCACGGTATCCCGTTCGAAAAGCTCGTCCATAAATTCCAACGATAGCCCTAATTTTAAGATCGTTCATTATTAGTCCCGTGATTCCCTGAGTATTAAAAGCAAGTCAACGCAACCACAACCTTACCTTTGGTTTCCGGCACAAAGAACCAAGTATATATAACCATCACGAAACAGAAACTCCCATACACAAAATAAGTCCCGTACCCATTTTTCCCTAATGTCGCGAACATCGTCGGTGTGGATTTGGCAACAACAAAATTAAAGAACCACTGCGAGGCTGTGGCCATGCCCATGTTGAGGGCCCGGAGGCGTGCCGGGGGGATTTCCTAGCCCCGCCATTTAGCAGAAGCATATTGAAGTGCGATGCGTAAGACTTACTGCGCAATAGGACCATACCACTGGTCCCCACCCAAATTGATATACGGCGGCAAAGAGATATATGGCGATTAGGGCGATGTATCCTTGAGGTGTGATGGGGGCGTTTTCCGATATCGTATCAAATCGGACGTAAAACCCGACATAAAATAGCATGATGCCCTATGCCCGGTTATAAATAGATTGTTCGACAACATGACATGTTATTGCATACCTGAACAATCCCTGTCCACAACAACGATCTTCTGCGACCGAGTGTGTCCGATACGAAAACGATGAAGATGCCACAGGCTATAAACTTGACGATACCGTATATCCCCGTCGCAAACAGGCCCACCGACGAGGACGATAGGCCGACACTTGCGAAGATGGTGGGCGAATAGTATGTCATGGCGTTGGTGCCCGTCATATTACTCCACATCATGAGGGTAATGCATAGGATTGATCGCCGGCGGTAGGACTTCTTCGAAAAGGATTCTTTTAGAAGAGACCACATCGATGATTCCGAGTGCTGGGACTCTTCTTCCAGTTGAAGCCGCAGGTTGTTCAACTCCTCTATCACATATGGATGGTCTTCAGGTAACCCCCGGAGTGTGGCAAGGACGCGTGGTGCTCTCTCCGGCCGCTTCATCGCGAGGTACCGCGGCGACTCGTTTGCAAGAAGCATACCGGCCAGAAGGATCACGGCGGGAAATGCTTGAAGCGAAAGAGGAATAATGAATTGCTCCTTTCTTGTTAAGTGACGTTCACAGCCGTAATTGATCCAGAACGCTAGCTGCAGTACCCTTGTCAGATATATTTACTTTATGGAAAACAGCGAGATCTATCTCATAAAGTCTAGACCTACCGTGAGACCGCAAACTAGAGTTAACTGATAGAACCCGGTCAGTAATCCACGGATGCCGCGTGGTGCGTTTTCAGCGATATATATTGGACACACGGAAGATGCTATCCCGATGGAGACTCCCCCGATGAAGCTATAGACCATGTCCATGTTAGTTAATGAGACACTTTCAGTAAACGAATTTACTTACCGTCCTGCATACAAAACGCCAATAATACCACTAGCGCCGGCTTGCAGAGCAACACCGACAAACAGTATCAATGAAGAGAGTATCAGTGATAATCGTCGTCCAATGGCATTTGCAACGTATGTGGAGACTAGCGCCCCCAGAAAAGACCCTGCTTGAATGACCGAGACGATGTTGGACTCCAGGTTTGCTAAAACAGTGTCTTCCTTTCCTACTAGCCCGTATTGTCTTTGATTCAGTTAGCCTAGTGCAGGTGACTTCTCGGGAAGAGGGACTCACTCTTTGAAGGAGTTCATGGTTAGGACACCTCCAATGACACCCATATCAAAACCAAAAAGCATAGACGCTCCACATGCCTAGATATCATCAGTTTCTATGAACATATACTACACGAAGGGGATGTTGAGCACACCGAAAGGCTGATTAGGACTACCCGGAAATTATATATCTCCGGGGGATCCGACTTGACGGTATCATTGCGAATAATTCTCTGAAGGAGTGTCATTTGAAAGGTATGCTTCTATTTTACAGAATTCTAATGCTATAGAATGTTTGCTCACTGGAGACCCCTTTAAGTATCAGTGGAGGCCCGGTATCTTTATCTACGCCAAGAGTACGGCTGTAGACGGCCATTGTGAAGGTTTGCCTCGTTTCTCTGACTAGCTAGCCAAATAAACGCTGTCATAGCTTTGAACCAAGTGTACTCTCCGCATTCCCAACGATGATTAGAGACAGCAAGTGCCATCGATCGACAATCTTGCTGATGCGGGGTAACACTATTCCCGAATTGGAATCCGGGGTAGGCACGGTCACGGGCATGATTTTGCGGGGAATTAGCGTCGGCTATAGATATCCAATTCATCATTGCTACTATTACTGACTATCCTGTTCTCCCATGATTACCAAATAAAGTACCATCAATTATAAATCCATCAAAAGCTGCCCCACGCCATGGTTATCCAAGTCAGGGAATCCGCCTCGAAGAAACGGCAAGTTAGATAGGAAAGTGTCAGGGCATTCCAAACCTTCAGTTGGCTCCAGGAACGATAATACCTGTTGGGTCGAGAATTCATCCTGGAAAGGGCCTGTACTGTCCATCACGGACGTATTTGTAAATTCGTCAAGGTCTATGGGGCTTGGTAGCGGGTTTTGCGCCGAGTGCCTCGATTGAACAAAGTCGTCTGCTGTCTCGGGTGTGGCCTGTCCCTGGAACCACAGACCTGTGAGCAACTTGCCGTATCTGGAGGCGATGTGAGACGGGCTTGTAGATGCGCTTTTGAGCATGGCGATGAATTGGCGAACTAGTGTGGTACAGGTCTGTTGTTCCTCGGAGCTTAAAGCCCCAACGGTCAGCGCCTTAAAGAGGAAGACCGAAGCATGTATTTCGTATCTAGAGAATGGTTAGCATCATTAATGTGTGGTAGCGGTAGATGCACTAGACGTACAGATAGAACCGGACAGGAATATACCGGAGGTGCTTTGTGGGGTTCAACCGCTCCATAAGATACTTAAGCACGCTTTTGGCTGCATCAATGGCAATATATATGTGTCTACCATCGGCACTAGCCATGACGCTGTATGGAAAATATGAGCTCTTTCCACCATCAGATCCAGAAGGACCTTTGGGCGTTCGATAAAGAACCGCCTGGAAGGCGAACGCATTGATGTAAAGACGAAGATACTCGAACTGGAGACACAGGAGACCGCTTAAGTGAGGAGGTAGATCGACATTGGCCCAGGCCTCCTTCCACATGGCTAATGCCTTGGAGCTGTCATCAAGATATTTGGTGTAGTCGCCCATGAGCATGAGCTGCACGGTACGAGTTTTGGATGCGTAAAGGATATCATGAACATTCCCAAAAATAGTGGTTAACTCAACTTGAGCCTGGACAAAACTCGCATAATCGACCCCATTCGCCTTCTGAGGTCGTAAATAGGGGTAGTCTTCGATCGTGAACCGAGTGGATAATCCAGGTCCACGACACCAAAATGCCTGTCCCATCTGTATGGAAATTTGACGGTCGGCAAGGTACGTGACTAGGTACGTTAGCTTGGAATATTGGAATGTGGAGATCCTTCTCACAGATCCATGCCAGTCTATTACGATGATAGTCTAGTCTATCCTCATCCTTGGATTCGCCTCTGAACGAGTACCTTTCCAGATGTAACAAATAAGCTTGTCTGACCGCCAGCCCAATGAGATTCCATGAAACACTATCTTCTGCAGTCACTTGAACTTGATGCGACGGACCGTTGTTGGCTGCAGCATCCCTTGCGCATTCCTCGGCGCTGATATGTGGAACCCATTCGGCCAGGAGCAGCAGTCCTTCCACGGAGCCAACATGCCGCACACTGGCGGCACCCAACACCACTCGCAGAATTAGCTTTTCCATGTACTGCGATATTCTCGTATGCAACCCTTCTAGTCCCACTCGGTCCGTTGTTGCAATGGTCAATACAGCTGTTAAAAGAAACGTCTCCTTTCCCCATGACTGCGTGATATTATCCAAGGAAGAAAGATGGCCGGGCACGATTGGTAGATATGGATGGAAATTTTGGATGTAGCTAGTCAAAACGTTAGTCTGGAGCGGGGTGCTGTAGGATGTACGACATACTATTGAAGCAAAGGTTCCAGCAATTGAATATCCACGATGCCACTCTGGATGAGTTCACTAGTGAGGAGACTCGAAGAGTTCCTTGGCAAATGAGTGAAAGGGCCACCCTGGGCATTACTCTCTTCTCTCGCAGACATCTGATTAGTGTGGACTTGAGACATAGATGTTTTTCTCTTTCGCGCATTCCTTTCGGTCGAAGCCGTCTGTGCGAGAATCTGAAGAGCCTCTAGCGGATTTTGAATACCCCCAAGATTGTGGTCTGTTACCGTGGTCTCTGTATTGGCTGAGTCTACACCTCTGGATTCAATGGTGTGCTCCGCGCGATCGCATTCTCGAACCTCCTCCTCCCTATGCTTCTGGGATTTCCGGACACGAAACCGTGAGTAGTCACCACCGCGCCGTGAAGCTGCAATAACACATCTATGTCCCTCGGAAAAACACTTTGAACAGGGATAATAATTGTATTCGTTGGTGTATTGTCTAACTCCGTTAGGCGACAATCTTTAGGTGGCATGGCTTTTGGGACACATACAGATCACATTTCGTTTTCCGCTGCCTGCAGCGGATGCAAGCTCGGTAGAGACGTTCCCCTTTACTTTTCGTCATAGTCAAGTTTGGTGATTTGATCTCAGTGGATCGTGGTGGGATATCGAAAATGAATGCGGGGAATAAGTTGATTCTGGTCCATCGGCTATAGAAACTGGCGCACGGCTGTAGTTCGGCTATAGACGGCAACGGCATTTGATTGGTTGAGCGTGGGGGCTCTTCTTTGACATGCTCATGTTATAAGAACGACATATTCTTTACACGTAGGTTAGTTGTTTTGTAGATTTAAACTAGCTATCAGTTCTCATTGCTTTCATAGATCACTACAGAGACACCTCAAAATGGCTACGATGGTTGAATCCGAGGTATTGACCTCTGTATCCACCACAGAGCAACAGCAAGCTCTTCCCAAAGACGACACATACGGCAAATACTATCCCACCGACCCAAAGAATCTCAGCTTAGAGTCCAATTTTGGGCCCATGGACCCGGAGAGAATTGGTTACTTGCAGCCGACTTCGAAGGATACCCCACTGGAAATCATGCGAGAGCGATTTAACCGTGATGGCTATCTTCTGGTAAGTCTATTCTAGCCATAGTCCAACGTTACCATTCTAACACACTATCGACTCGACATAGGTAAAAGGCCTCCTCCCCAAAGAGCCCGTCCTCAAATGCCGCCGCGAATACTTCGAGTATATGTCCCCATCCGGCCTCCTCAAGCCCGGCACGGATACGGTCGAAGGAATCTTCAGCGAAAAGGACAGCCGCAAGTACCTCCCACCAGGGAACCTCCGCCGGCTTTTCGGACTCAAGGATGACGAAGAGTCGGAAAGATACCTGGAGCTGATGATCAGCGCACACAAGGCTCAATTCTACCTCGGCTTCTGTGAGATAGAAGAGCTGCGAGCATTTATCCGACGGTTCGCTGGATGGGAACACATTACCATGTTACAACGGACGCTGTTGAGAGCATTTGTTCCAGATAGCGAGCTCACACCCGTTCACTTCGATCAGATGTATCTCCGTGCCGGCCCACCTACTAGTCTCACAGCGTGGGTGCCTATTGGGGACATCTCTCTTGAAGGTGGTGGGTTGATGTATCTCCAAGGTTCGACTGATATTGGACAGAAGACGGAAGAGGAGTTCAGTCGCAACGCAGGTAATCTAACGGATGAGGAGCGCGTGTCTGCTTTCAATAAGAATATGAATGACGGTGGTTTCTTGAGTCGAGATACAGTTGATTACGGACAAAAGGTTAATCGGAAGTGGCTGATCGGGGAATATGAGGTTGGGGATGTTATCTTCCATAATCCCTGGATGGTCCACGCTAGTTGCAAGAACAAAGATCCCGAAAGACGGATTCGATTGGCAACTGATTTGAGATTTGTGGACTCTACGAAGCCGTATGATAAGGTGAGCTTTTTCTTGGTCCAGCTTGCGCGAGGTTGCTAATGTTAGTTTTAGCGCTGGATGAAGGTCTTTCGACCACTAGATGGGCTTTGATGATGTTCAGGATCTATTCAAAGGTGCACAAGGTGTACTGTTGGAACATTTGAGGAGTAGTTGCTATGTAACCTGAATGGTATGATTTCTCGCGTCCGCTTAAAATATAGTAGAACTTAATGACGACAATGTATGTTGTCTTGATATCGATATAATTAGTAGAGTCCAGTGCCACTATAACGGATGTTGCACACAAGTGAGACATAACAGCATGATCGACCTTTCGAATCCTGGAGGATTATATGAAATGGTCAACGTGTAGTCTAGGATTATCCCTACAACAGCATCAGCTGACTGGGGCTTCAACTTTTGGTCGATATGTAACTGTGCTCACCTGACCATTATTGAGGTCTAAGTCAGCTCTAGCACTGTGATTGAGGATGCATCCTGTTCTAGGATCTCTAGCCTGGCCATGGCTAGGTAGATAATGACAGGATATCGGCTTCACTATCCAACTCGTAAGCAAGGAGAGTAATACTCTGCTGGGATATCTCAAAGGCGATCTAGCTATGCTCCACAGATGCACCTGAGCATGTCATTTGCCACCTGTGGAGTCCACGCGTAGTAACATATCTTCGATCATAGCTTAAAGCGTTTACATGTTGGTGCCATCTCGAAACCGTGTTACCACCACTGTTATAGTCGCATCATATAGTGGTATACAATTCATATTTGGTCTGGTTTCTTTCCTCCTGTAGTAGGACTAACCGTTCATGGTTGGGTTGCGAGACTCATTAGACAATACACAGTATGATAAAGGAGCAGGGAAATGCCAACAGGAGCGGATTCTTTGACACGCTCATAGGTACTTGCTCTTACGCATGAGGCGTCTGTGAGATCGTTAAGGGCCTTCCACAGATGGCGCCTGTAATACAGCAGGTCATAGAGGGCTTTCTGAGAGGAATGTTGAGCTACCGTTGAAAACGAGAACCGTTATGTTTCAGTTTCACCTGAGTTGCGCGAACACAGCTACGTTGAATGGCGTCTGTTCCGCGGAGAGTGAAATAATCAAGTAAGCAAACGTAAGCGTGTGTTGGTGACTCAGGTGTCTACTGTGCTAGCTATGTAGTTATGTCCAGGTCTATTAAAGAGCGTTGTGGCATCAAATCTTTGTCAGTATATCTCAATCAGAACAAACCTGGTGCGTATTAATACCCTTGTATGCTTCTTATACGCCGGAATCTGGACCAAACGTATGCAACATGAGCTAACCTGAATGTACACCTGGTATTGGGTCACCATAGCCGCAAATATGTCATGAAGATGTGGAACGGCCCTGACCTGGGCGTTGGCTACGCCACCAACATCTGCACAACCTACCTTGTACTTTGCCTAGCATGGAAACTGCATATGTCAGCCCATCCTCTTTTATAGGGCATGCTGGTAATGTTTCGTCCGTGTGGAACCCCGCCCTTCAGGAGTGGATTCTATCGGGAAACCTATCAGCCTTGTGGACGTACTTTCATCAATAAACGAAACTTGATTAGAAAAGGACTATACTGTCTACCGGTTCATAATAAATTTCCAAAGACGCCCTATCGTACTTGAACTAGTACATTCTCATTCTAGACCGCTCTGTAGTGGCTTAGGGTCCATCGAGTTTGTTGGGACTAGGATAGGGTGATTACTGGGATGAATTAGTGGACTGAATAAGATGTCTCTCAGCCACAGCCAGAGAATATTGTATCCCGGAAGCTCTATGGGTTTCTGACACTGGGTGAAAGTAAAATCAATACGACACTTTCGTGTTCGTTGATTGCGGGTGTTTCATTTTTAGCCCCCGTAGGCAACAGGCATCGCGTACTATGCTCAGCAGTGAGATTCAGCTTCCTTAGCCCAGCTATGAACAAATCCAGTTTACTTTAATCACAAGAGGACTATTCCGTTTTTGATATAGGACGCTGATAGCAAGTAGTGGGAAACCACGATTACACTGTCTTGTGTCGTCCGCAAATGCCGCGTAAGTAGCAGAGTATTCCGCGACGATCGATGATATATTCCTTGATACCACAGACACTTGTACAGCTAGATGGTCCACTTACGTTAGTCAATCACAATCTGAAATTGCCGTATAAGCTTTCAAGCCTTAAGGTCAAAACTAGTATAGCTGACCATCAAAACTGACGTCAATGCAAGTGTCTTTCCCGCTGCATCCTCTCTACTTGGATCAGCGATATGATAGCTGAAGTAGTCACGTTATACGAATGTAACCTATTCTACAATAGCTTATTATAGCTTGTGCCACCACCTGTAGATAATTTCAACGTGCGATTTCTGTGGCCTATCGCCTCATCCTTTCATTCTTGACTATCTCACTATCTAAGCTAGCTCTCCCGCTTGGTGTTGTGGGCCCGCCTAGCGGCCCGGAAGAACCCATCTTTCCGGGCCTCCGGGCCACCAGACGGAAGCCCCTACCAACAGATAATATACATGCTCCAAACCCTATTCGACGGATCTACGACGTCACGATGCAAGAGAGGCGATAGATTGCTGAGCCGCAGAAATGCCAAGAGGTGTATCTCGTGTTCTCTTATGAGAACAGAGCCCTCCCAAAGTATTGGATGTGCATCTGTGTAACGTGATACATCTACACCCTGCTATGGATAATTCTGTCCTGTATATTGACATCCTCAACTGCGGCATAGCAGTGGCTAGATCGGGCGTTTCATGCAACTTCATGTGAGCTATCCTCTCCAGTCGACGTGTATGAGCTCATGGTTCTTTCTTGGGTTAGTCCACCTCGTAACTTCGAGTGACTCGTATACGCCGCACTCTTATTTTAGCCAAGTGTTACTGGTTCTGTGTTGGTTTACTATTGTCGGGCATCTATGTCTCAGCCACTATGGGATAAAGAGGCTATTGATTGGATAGGATTACGTATAATATGGGAAGCCACATGAGAAAAGTTACAGACAGGCTTGAAGTGGCTGTTTATACACGGATCAGTATGGAGAAGAATGAACATAAATAAGCGGGAGCCATCCTGCTTCTTAAACTCCTGATCAAAGCAACCCAACGCAATCTGACAAGATTCCCTCAAAGCTCAAACTCCAAAAGCTTCATTCATTCTTTGCGTACTTTAAAATGATCAAGTCTATTACCTTCATCGCTCTTCTATTCTCCACAGCAAGCGCTGTCCCAACCCCAACCGAGCTTTTACCTCGGGCCTGCACCACCCTAGCCCCCTCCATCATCAACATCCTTGACGCCGCAAACCCCAACACCCCCTACTCGGGCCAGCAATTTACCCTCCAGCGCAGCGGCTCTCCACTTGTCGACAACAAGATCTCCGTGTTGACCTTCAGCAACATCCCCTCCGGCGCCACCGGCTGCCGACTAGAGATCGAGCTTCCTCCACTAAGCGACGGCCAAATAGCCCCAAGCGACACCCAAGCAGACATCTGGTCTGCCGACCCTAGCAATGGCAGTCCAGCTCCCACATACAATAATCCGCCACACAAGAGAGAAATGGTCGCGACGTACATCTTCCCCAAGGGACCTACCACAAACTCGGCCCACACTGTCTTGGCCTCTAACACCTGCTCTACCGCCATGAGCTGGCTGGTGCAGTTGAGTGAATGGCAGACCTCGGCTGGCAGTGTCAATTTCCAGAACTCGGTCGGTAATGGTGCGGATATCGGCTTCACATTGGTTTACAATTGTTAAACCATGGTGGTCGAGGAATGTATTGTGTGAACACTGAGGGGTCCTGATGATCCTTGAGTGCTGCTCACTGAGCCCCTGTTTTTTTACATGTACGCGGCCGTTGTACACGTTTTCTGTCGTCTACTTGTTTGCTTTGTAGTCACTCATTTAGCTATGAGGTCTTTGACAATCTAGTTCTTGATTTCTCATACTAGCTTCAAGCATTGATACAAATGTATGTAGTTACCTAGAAGACGTAGCGAGATGTAGTTCCTGTAACGAAAACGTTAGTATGCTCTTAATGATTATCCGTAGGTCTGTCACTGATTAATTATGCCTACTGAAGGCCAGGTTGGCTTGTGGGCATATTCACGTATATTCATATCTGATAATCTAAGTATAGATTCTTCAATTAACATACTGAATCGCAGAGACTGGTTGCTTTAAGTGTATATGCATAAGAAGTCCAACCGATAGATATAACGGCTAATATATCTACCGACGCCTAGCTCAAAAGGTGAATCTTAGGGCAACCGCAGCACATGCTACTGATGATCACCATAGATAAAACGCCGATCTGCAATCGATCACTAGGCAGCCACGAGTGCTCAACAAATACGAACCAATGTCAGTGCGTTGCACTTCGCAATTAACCATCCGGGAGATATTCCCCTATCTGCTCCTAAGGATGCTAAAGTACACCTGGCCAGTACTGATCTGCGCCTTACAATAACTAGGGGCTGTAATAAACACACCGTAGTTTCCCTGTGAAACTCCTCACTTTGGCCGTCTAAAACCAACCCTCTTGGCTCTTCGATATACAACAATGACAACTTGGAAAATAGAACCCTGCTCCGTTAAAGATGCCGCCGCTCTGGCGCGGAACAACATGGCCGCCTTCTGGGAGGATCCAAACTGGATCACCCTATGGCCGAAAGATATGAAACGGGAGTTTATCATCGAACAATCGGCAAAGCGACAGCCGCGTAATCTTCTGCGCGACCGCGAGAAAGTACGACATCAGAAGGCTGTAGACCCCGTTACGGGTGCTGTCGTTGGCTACGCGCGCTAGATACTTCCGCCCGGGCACCGGACCGCAGAGAATGGCAGTCCTGCGTGGGCCGAGGCACAGGTACCGGATGTTAGTGAAGATGAGAAAAAGCGGTACCAGGAACTGGCTGAATCGGCCTGGTGGAGTCCGAGAGAGGACATGGACAGCCTTGACGATAAGAATCACGTTGTAATGGACCGCATCTTGGCGGAGAAACCGTATATCAGTAAGTGTGCATCGGTGAACTTTAGTGACGCAAATGGGGATAGCTAATCCATATGTAGGACTTGACTATCTGGCTGTTCACCCGGAGAACAAGGGAAAAGGAATCGGCACAGCCCTGGTTGCAAATGGAATTAAACATGCTGAACATGCTAGAGTCCCCATTTTTACTTTGGCTTTCAAGGCAGGACGCGGGGTTTATGCGAGACTTGGCTTTCAAGAAGTCGATAGAATTATTCAGGATGATTCGAAGTATGGTGGACCTGGTGAATATGCAGCGTACTTCATGATATATGATGTCCCTGGGGATGTGTGAGCTTTGTGAGCTGTGGTTTAACGATATTAACTTGCTTCTTCAATGACTCCTCAGCCGCTATTTTCTTATTCTTGCTTGCATGCATTCATGCATTGTTAGTTAGATACACAGTGGGTATGACTGTGAGAGACTAAATCTCAGTACACGTATCGTGGGTACGCTAGGCTATTTAAAACAGACGCACTGGTACTGTCCGTTAATCACTGTAAATTAACGGACTAATTAACCATTTTACTATCAGATTAAAAGCTTGACAGCATTGAGATATGTGGACGAGCGGCATTTAGCCGCCCATACAATTTTGCACAGTATCACTCGAGGTTGTGGACATTCCCCCAACAAAGTTTCAGTAGCTGTTATACGAACTCTCATATGAGCAACAGGTGTCCCACAGCCTAGGATCTGTATACGTACGCCCGGAGCGCTCGACCTCTATCCGTCGGTGGTGTATTCGGTGGTTACATAGTATCCGCTAATTTATCTATTATCAAGCGTATGGACATGCGTCCGAAGTTAGAGCTTGGCGACTGATGACTTGAGTAAAAGCATACGTACGCAAGTGGACCTTTAGCCCTGTAGAATACTGCTAAATGTGAATCATCGGGAATGCTGAGCCCAGTTGTACGCGGGCTTCCCCAATGTCGACAGCGAAGCTCTCGATAAGTTGAAATTTGCACTGCAGCACTCTAGTAGTTCAAGCCATACTGCTACATATTCTGCCACTAGTTGAGTCCAAAAGAACTAGATAATCAGAGATTGCTACAAGGACTCTTCAAGGATAAGGCAGCACTATACGAAGCAATAGCCAGGGCTCCACATCTCCAATGAGCAAACATACAACTATTCAAGATTAATCCTACATTCTGGATCTGTTCTGCAGTTCTTCGCACCTCTAAGCCAGTGCAGGAGATGTCGATGAAATAATAGTCGAGGCTGATACGCCACATTGCTTCTCCCATGCGGGTGCCTTTGTGCAATTGGAGCAAGCGTATCTTGAGACACGATGCGCCTGTTTACAGCTGACCTCTTTCATCAAGCCATTGACGATCGGCTTTGTCCAGTCGAGTAATTGACATCACGAAGCGCAAATTTCGCTGTGGAAATTCCGCAATAGCTTTGCCTCATCCCGCGACCGGACGGACGCGATATCTCAGGTATTGATATCGATCGAAACCGCTCGCAGATCTACTATCAACGCACCCAGACACTTCCATTGTCTTCTATGATAGTGAAGAAGCATCTTATGGTTGGGGTATTCACATTATCGAGGACTTAAACCGTGAGGCAATATTTTACATAAATTATTATGGTTCTCATACCAGCTAGTGTGTAACTAACCCTCCAAACGGACATATAGGGAGGAGCCGGACTAGAAACGCTGATCACTGTGCTCTCTTCAGCAATTCTAGCGGCACTGATCCACGTAAGCTCAACATAGCCCTGACGATCGTACTAGTTAAACACGCTACACCTTTTGGTAGAGCACCGCCCAATATTGGTTCTGGAAGACAACGGTTTCCCGTGTTTTCGCCGGCACTATAGATGCCTAGCGGGGCTCCACTAGTGTTAATCAGCGGATAATTGGGAAAGACAGGCGGTTAAAGAGCCTGGCTTAAATGCCGAGGCTTCACATCTGAAAGAGAACTCTACCAGAGCAAAAGTGTCTGAAATAGGGTAAGGACGGTATTTTCTTCTTTGCAAGTGCAGTATACCTGTCTATTCATCTGAAAGCATTGTCTATACTTCGTTTTCTATAGAGGCTATGGCATCAAAGATGCATAACTTGGGGGTTATATTAAGCCATATTATATGACCTCACTGTGGACCCGTCATATCCCGCCGAGACTCGCATTTCAGGGATGCTTTTTGACCCAGACACTATTCAATTCTCAGGGCTCAATAACTAAGACAAACGACGCATAGGAGTGGGGGAATGTTTTTCGTAAAATCTTATAAAATAATATGTTGAGGGCAATATAGCGTTCGTCGGGCTCTCCCCAGGCAAGAGATCGATGGCATGAGGGATTGGTGATGGAGAATAATGGGGTAATGATCGTCAGAGAATGAGGGACTCTGAAACAAGTTTATATAGCACCAGGATTAACTACCAATCGGACACTGGTGATCAGAAACAGAGGACCACCGAGGCAATATGCTGAAAGACGGTGATGTTAACTTGCTTCTGAGGGTAAAACATGTCTCGCCCAAAATAGCATGCTCAAGATATATAACGAGGCCAGTTCACGTCTTTTATCGAGATCACTCATCTAACAAATTCCAGTCCAATCTCCCTGCAAAGCCTTTTCTACCTTCTTTCTCAACTCCACCACCGTCACAATGAAGTTCTCCATTGCTGCTGTTGCCGGTCTCCTCAGCGCCGTTAGCGCTGCTTCCCTCCCCGCTGCCTTTACCCTAGTTGCTGAGGGTGGCCTCACCGTCCTGACCGACGGAGGTACTTTACTCTTACCTTGTCAACATATCTAATAGTTCTCTAACATTCTACAGAGTACCTCTACTACGGCGGCAACGGCACCGACGCCAACAAGGACATCGCCATCTGTGAGCTCCCTCATCGCACCTCAACAATATCACCAACAGGTAACTAATCTCCTCATTTAGTCCACGCCACACCGGACACCGGCGCCGTCTCCTACACTGCCAAGGACCAGACCCCTACCGGCTGGCAGAACCTGTACGTCGTCGAGAAGGACACCGCTGCCGTCGGTCTCACTCGTCCTCACTCCGCTGCTGTCCCCGAGGGTGCCAGCACCATCGACTTCGGTGTTAACGAGAAGGGTCTCTTCACCCACGGTGGTAACGCCTACTTCGCCGTTGAGGGCTACGGCGACAACCCCGTCAAGACCGTCTACTGGTACGGTCGCCACAGCTCCACCTACCGCGCTGCCGACCTCTACGTCAAGGAGTGCAAGGGTTGCTAAACGGGTTCGTCCAAGTCCGTCTTGCGCTCGTTCGTGTTGATTCGGTGATTGTATTGCAGGCGCTGTATTCGATCTTTCGCTGTACTTAATACATTAGTATTTATTTGATACATATATATATATATATATATATATATTCACTCCTTTGTATTTTGGAGATTCGGTTAGATTCTGGATCGCTGTAGTTTACTGGTCTATACCAAGGTTCACTTCAATGAACTTGCAAAATAATAAATGAGATCTTACGTTGTGAAGAAGTAAGACATATGTTTCATGGAAAACACAGTCGTGCAGCATCTTTGGGTTGAAGTACACATCAGCTGTCCCGAGAACTCACGATCTATGCGATGCGTTCATCAGTGCAGGGCTATGGTGAATATGTAATGACGTAATACATATCCAGCTATGTATCGACACCATCCGTGCCATATTCTAATTCTCTACCTTGTTGTTTGTGGACGCTCATTTGAGCAGCAATACCCTGAAGGAGCTGGTTTATTTGGTACTGAAAAGGGAATGCGTTGTACAAGATGGTAACTGGTGCTCATAAGACTGAGCTTAACCTGGTTGGATATACATATTTTCTTAAAATGAGATCATGAGAAAGAGTGGCGAGAATATATATATTGGTGTGTGGGCAGGGTACTTATGGTTCCTCTGTGGAAGAAACATATAACTAAAACGCTAGAACATGATATCTTCATAAAAAATCCTATTGTCTCGAGTCTCAGTAAATCCTCTGTACCTAAACCCCAACCGAAGCTCCCTGACAAACCCTAACAAAAACCTATCAGCGACCTCAGATGATAAAGTCTTGGCAAAAAGAAGGTATCCACAGATCCACTCTGAGAACAGAATAAAAATCTGCAAAAATCAATGACCAGACTGGGGCTCGATCCCAGGACCTTATCGGTGTTAACGATACGTGATAACCAACTACACCATCCGGCCGATTGTATATTCGAACCTTTAGTAAAAAGCTATATAAACAAAACCAACAGATCAAGCTCTGTTTCTTTCCAACAGCCAAGGTATGATGGATTCCAGTGTTCTAGAAATGTTCATTGGGCATAGGAGTATGTAGGGGATATGATTCGCTCTTGGTTTGACTTTTACAGTTTGTGTAGTATTAGTACAGTATAGAATATGCACTTTGTCACAAGTCATTTCAGAGTATGGGGGTGCTCGTTGGGATAGTGCTACAATACCATTATACACATAGGATTGAGGTCTTTTTATTTACCATAAGTTGGTATTTGACGGTCTCCTGGGCAAACTATAGCAACATTCAAGGTTTGTGGATAATTGTTAGAATTATGAACACTAACATCATACAGTTACAAGAGAAACAGTATCTCCATACCAAGAACAGGACGTATCCTAGAGACCATTCCTCATTCATTGAATCGCTTCATGATCCGCTGGAAAAGAGTTCGACTATGCTATCATTCTGAACTATGAATTGAGGCTAATGTAGCTAACGTTGTAATTCCTTGACGAATACGGAAGGCCAAGAAAGGAAACTATATCTAGGGGCCAAAGCATTGGAATACTAATTGCCCTTAGACCGAGTCTTTCAGCGACTAAAATGAACAGGACTTCAAGGGTCTTAGTAACCGGTCTAGACCGTACATGGTCTTTCCCATGAATACACCAAGTGTATATACTTAGTTTCGCAACTTGTGAACGGGAATAGGGTAGAACTGGACAAATCTTCACTCCGTCTGGATGGAGGGCCAAAAATAAAAAAACGAAGGATCAAGCATGGATCTTTCACACTGAAATCGAATGTGATACCTCTACACCAGTCCTTCATTTAGGTAAAATATTAACTGCTCCACATGGAATATAACTCGTAGTCCAGTTCGAAAACCAGGACGATGTACAACACGTTAATGAGCTTGACGATTTCTTTCCACAAACAAGTAGGGGAATGCCGCTCATATTCGAGGCCGTACAAGGATATAGCCCGTGTATTACCGTTTATCTTTACAAGGACTTTCAGATGGAGTGGAAGAAGTCTCTGCGTGGTCATGGCAACTTTACCGTAAAGAACGTAATATGAGCATCTATCTCCGTGGAATATCTAGCGGTTTCAACTCTTGAGAACATGGTATCCACCATTTGCCCTGAGCCTCGTCCAGGGTTAACAGTAGAGTAAACAAAATTGCTGAACTTACAAGTACCAGCAGTAACATCAAACACACAGACCCCATTAGTGGAGTTATTCCAGGAGCAGCTCCCACTCGGCTACGGAATCGAACATGCAAATACCAGTCACAATGCATGAGTATTCTACACAGCCACAATCTATCGCCTAGCGCTGGGTTAACTCCGGGAGTACCGAGCTTCGGCAATGCAATTCGTGCAGAAAGTGGAGGATTAGAAGCGGTAGTGCTCCGCCGCCAAGAGTCTGGGCAGGGTTAGTCTGCCTCCGGAGATTGCGGGTTTCCGTGACTTGGATATTAATCCTAAGAACTGGCTTTATGGAGGTAGGTCTTTGATTGGAGGAACGTATTCGACTTGCTCGCTGATATTGGACCAGGTGGCTTCAGGTTGAGACAAGGGTGTTTACTAAATGACTCTCTTCTATCAGGTTTTCTGTCTGGCCACCGGCGAATTGCCAGGATGGGAATAGACCTCAAGAATGAGAGCGAGAAGAGCATGGCTATATAAAGCTCGGATTTCTTCGTATACGCTTTTCCAATCTTCCCAGTGACCCAAAACTCCAGTCATCAGGTGTGGTCAGTCATGTTCTCTCGCATTGCTCTTCTCCCCGCATTCCTCCCCGTGGCTCTGGCATGTCTGGGCTACGAGGGTGGTGTTCCCACGCCCACAGCCCATCACTCCAACAGTGCAGTGATAGAGATCGCGGCCGGTGAGGTCTTCGACGCCGGATGGGCCAAGTACGATCGCGGCTCTGGTGCCTGCGGTGGCCAAAACGAAGGAGACTGGCACGATGCCGTCTTCTACCTCCACTCCGGCGCTACCTTGAAGAACGTTATCATCGGTGCCGACCAATCTGAGGGTGTTCACTGTGATGGCCCTTGTACTCTTGAATTTGTCTGGTTTGAGGATGTCTGCGAGGATGCCATCAGCATCGTATGTTCCAGGCCTACACTACTTTCTGGCTCGCCACTAACAATTTCCCAAGAAAAACGACAAATCAGGAGACGAGACCTGGATTATCGGCGGTGGGGCCTACCACGCCGACGATAAGGTCATCCAACACAATGGCTGCGGTACTGTGAACGTAAGATGCCCTTATTCTAACTATATATACCCCACTGAAACCGCGACTAACGATCAATAGATTATCAACTTCTACGCCGAAGACTACGGCAAGGTGTACCGGTCCTGCGGTAACTGCTCTAGCCAGTGCAAGCGGAACGTCTATGTCGAGGGTACCACTGCTCGCAATGGTGGTGAGGTTGTTGGTATTAACCAGAGCTTTGGAGACACTGCTACCCTGGTCAATGTTTGCACTGATGCTGATCACCCCTGTGTTTTGTATGATGGATGTGAGGGTGATTGCGAGCCGAGCAAGGTCGGATACTGCTCTGGTTAAAGGGTTGTGGCCGGCTGAATTCGGGTTAGCTTAGGGGCGAAGGTGTGTATGAAGTGTATATATGTTGTAGGTTGACTGGATACAGAACATATATTGTTCTTTCGTATGGACATTTCTATCGTTTCCAATATGTACATGCGGCCTATATAATGGAGAGAATGTGACGTTTTGGGCATTCTATAGCCTTAAATATACTCCTCTACCTCCATCGTGAGATAGTCCAATGACATTTGATTGATTACCGCCCCTTACAAGGTTACCAGTAAGAGAGATGGGTAATGGTACCCAAGCTGTGGCTAGACTCTAAGACAAAGACGCCAGTGGCCAACTGAAATTGACAAACCAGCACACGAGCAAACGCCAAAGCTTGTAGCGTATCTTAGCTTTTGTGTAGCCCCACTGTTTTGGTAGATGACTGCTTGGCGTCCTCTGGAGATTAGGGGTGCCAATATCCCATAACATTTCAGATACCCAATGTCAGCAAACCAACTTCACCCTGCCACAAGGCATGATACATCAATAACAGCTGGATTTTCTCTTAGCAAGATAGCACGCCCATATGTGTAATCATCATCTGCACTATTGTTGTAGAGTGAATGCGTTATCGGAATGCAGCGCTCCATACGAGTAGGTTATAAAATATGGTTGTGGGATTTGACATACACATTGAATCTGTTTAGACTTTCTCTAGGTGGGCTCACACCTTTTTGCGCTCAGAGGTGAACATGACAGGGAGACAGTGGGATTTAGCACAGATCAAGGGTTACAGAAGTTACCATAAGGGTAGTAAAAGAAGGTCATTTGTGGTTATTACTAATTTTAACTTGAAAGATACAATGCGACATGTAATTCAGTCGATAATAGCGTTCATCCATGTTAATTCTATTGTTAGGCTCTCCCGACAATTTTCAACACAGTTGTAAAGGCAAGTAAGCCAATACAAAGATATGGCGAGGATCATTGTGGCATTACAAAGTAGTCCCATGCGTCTCTAAGACAGCCTGGTGTAGGGGATCGTAAATAGTTTCCGGAGTCCTTGCTATCTGGAGCTCTGTCATGGGCTCTGCAGCGAGGTCTCTAATGGCTCTAGCCCTTTCATATGCTTGATCGTATATTTTTAACCACAGCCGGAAGCCTTGATAAAGACGTCGATCTCCCCCGACATAGGCTCTCTTGGAGTACTTGAGGTAATGGCAGATAAGCTTTGGATCCGGGCATAAGGCAATAGGGAATTCCTACCTGTCCCTGATCATCGACATGGAAGAACTGGTAATTTATGCTGTCCGTATAGAGGCCCCAGGTTTCCTTATACCTACCAGTGAGGTTCCGAAGGTGGTAAATCAACGCTGTTACCATTAGTCGGCAAAGCAACGTATATGGACATAGGCTGAGCAAGCATACTCATAGCTGCAAGTGGCGACAACCTTTGGCGTTCTCCGTATTCCTGTTGCTTGATGATTATTAAATTCGTGTCCCAGAGGTGCTTGTACCCGAACCACAGTACATAGTCAACATGGCACTGAAGTCGATATCGGTTTTCCCCCAAGGTCAAGTCTGTGTGGATGATTTGATCCATCTCCGGAAGGGTCATCTTTAGGAATTCTTTTGCGGCCTCCAAATCCACAACATCCAGGAGCCTTCGTCCTGCTTCGCGCTGTACTATATTAACCGTAAATTGCATCCTACGATTTACCCAGCCGCGGTAATCCCCAAGAAATGGACGGGCGGTTCCATAGGGTTGGGGCATTTGTCCTACGGCGTTGTTTAGTAGTCGAGAGTTTAATTTGCATTAAATGGAAGCTATTGGACTCACCTGATTCATCTACGATGCGATGTATGTCCTCTGCTTCTAATGCCCAAGGTCCTTGGTTGTTCATTCCATAATCAATATGCCGGAGGCCAAGGGATCGCAGGAAAGTATTTATGATTCTTGTCGAATTTGCTCTCCCTGTAATTTCTTCGTCTGGTTGTCCTTCCCTTAATCGAAATATTCTGAACTGCTTGCGGGCTTCCACTAGAAGCTCTCCTACGGGGGCACGGATTTGATTAGGGAAGGCCGCATGCAGGTTGTCAAACGTGCGCTCATACGCACGGTAGCCCAACACATGAGTAATATGGGCAGCGGTTCGAGTACCATTGACAATATTCTCTCCAGAACGGAGAACAAACCCTCGAGTCCGGTTGGCAACTCGTCCTGCACGCTGACGAATTTGTAGTCTTCGACGAGGCTGCGTATTGCCCTCCTCGTTTGGGGGGACCTGATCATCCTGGGACATTATGGCGACAATAGGTCAGGACTCAATTCTCAATCCCTCGCTGTTCCAGTTCCCGTGTCTTGAGAACAGTTCCCTTGCTCTCACAAAAGTCCGCGCCAAAGGATCTGGACGGTGTGTCGATTGAGACGTAAGGCTTGATAGTTAAAGAGTGAAGATGTTGAGTAAATCTAAATGTAATGGAGTAAATGGGTAGTGATATGAGTTCTAGTAGTAGTTGCTGCTATTGATATAGTAGTTGTTATAATTGTTTCTGCTGTGTGGCGCTGAATGAACTCCTCTGGATCAGCCGAACGACATGTCTTCCTTCCCAAAATGATTCTTTCCGCTCCGTGTTGCTCCTTCCGAATTGATGTTCTTCTCAACTGATCAAATGACCATGTCGCCCATCTCTGCGGACTGGGGTTGTCAGATTCTCGGGATCTTCATCTTTACCAGAGACACTAGAGGAGCTGTCGATAGAGCTGTGACTTGTCTGAGTAAGCATCCTATGATCACCTGGTCTTCTAGCCATTGACGGAGACCTACAGATATAACTATAACATCAGCACAATCGACAACCTCTGGCAATATGCCCAAGAAGATCGTCGGAAAGGGCACGCATTGCAACTTTATGTTCGGTCCGACGAGTTGCAGGGTATGTGGATTAGCGGGAATGCCTTGAACCTCGAACTGTGTTCAAAGCATTCACTCGATGAACTCGTGAAGAGTGGTGCTTTCGTTTCCGAATCCGAATATCCCAAATGTCTTTTCTCACCGGTGGGATCGCCGCCCTCGTCGTTTGTATATAGCAAACAGGAGACGCGACAGCTTGCTGTTAGACTAGGATATTGTCTCCTGGCCTTCTTTGATGTCATCATGAACTCCAAGACTATATACATATTTCATTCGTCGAATACGAATGTTCAAATGCAGTTGAAATGCCTATCATTTTCATCAAACATACTCCTTTCGACTGGCTGTCGTGCCTTCCAAATGGGAGAACCGCGCTCTGCTTTCCTTTGCCAAGATCTTACTCAAGATTGATTATGGGCGAAATATTGGGATCGATGTCTCGAGCAATCTGGAAGATAACCAACGTACCTCGGCGCATATTAGCGATTGCGTTGATACAATCCATCGAAGGGACTCCTACTTTAACGCGATGAAGGGGTGTTTTGGGCTTTAATCCTCCGCAAATGCATCCTCGCTTGCTAAACCACTCACCTCAAACGGCAGAGGCGAATTCGCATTCCCCGCTCCATCGGCATCATACATCGCTCGCTTCGTATACTCAACATGGGTAATCTGCCCAGAACGATGGACCACAATCCTCCTCAGCCTAAAAGCAAAGATGAAGTCAGAAGAGCCCTCAAACGAACGACAAATCCCATCCTTCCGTTCACCCGTCATCCCTAGCCCGATCTTCACTGGCACACTAGTCCCTGATCCGTCCACCCCAACCCTAAAGTCCATCCCCAAACCTCGACTCCCAACAGACTTAACCTTCGCCCCACGCACCACCTTTAACCCAGTAATCATATACAAATGTTTCCGGAACCGACTCTTCTGCAAAACCTCCCCACAGCAGGAGCCGTCATATTGCGAACCAAATACTCCTGAGAGGGACTAAACTCCCTAGTCTCGATCACATCAAACGAATACATATCTTCCACAGACGACCGATGAGACACACCACCACCACCAGCAACAAAACCCAAACCCAGTCCCAATCTCAAGAAAGACAAGAATTCCCCCCATAAGCCATATGTCCCCGAGTGCCACACCTCTTCAGACCAAGTCACGCCTATCTTAGTACTAACCGGGAAGAGGGTCTCGGGGGCTGGAGCCTCGTAGATCGTGCTATTTAGGGCTTCGGCTGGGTTGCTGGTGAGAGGATGATGTTCCCTTGGACCTCCGGTGGGGTGGTAGTCCCCGGTTGGGGTGAGGAAGAAGGTTTTCTTTGGGGATGTCATTTTCCTTTTTCTTTCTTTTTCTGTTGGGGGTGTTGGTCTTTGCTGGACTATTGTGAATCCCTTGACAGTGGACTTCTGGGAGATCAGTTAGAAGGGAAAAAAATCAGTCCTCAGTCCTCAGTCCTTGGTCGTGTCGTACGGAACAACTCATCGATCACGGCAAATACTATGCAGTATTATATCTAGTAGTTGTGGGGTTTCTGATTAGTAGGTCTCATTTTTGTCATTTACAGAAATAAGTAGTCCTTGATATTTGAGGGGAACACATATAATGGCTACAAAGAATGAAGAGGAGTGACCTGTTTGAAGATGTAAGTGCCCCTTGGAGAAGCTCTTCTGTTATGTCAAAGTATGTTGCTATCTTTAGAACGCTTACGTAGACATCCTGCGTTTGCTTTAAGGGTGATGGAAGTGGACAACGCTTGGACTGAGACCCACCTCTAGTTTCTGGACGGGTATTACACTCATGCACTGCAGGGAGAAGAAAGAAAGTAAAGGAGAGGAAGCAAGAACTCACAGGACTCAGACCTTCATACCGGCCACAGAGATGGCGACATTAAAGACTTGACTTCATATTATGATACATACTCATGCCATCAACAGTAACAACAAGCTTAATTACAAAAGTATCAACCTATCCACTGTCTCGAAGGAACCCAAATATACTAACACTCTCCGCTAGTTCCGAGTCATACTCACAGATATCCATTCGAGCATTACCCTGATGGACTTCAAGACTGCGAGTAAACTCCGTCCAAGCCTCATCAGACACGATGGGCGCCGTACAATAAGGCTCCGCACCAGTTGCATCCAACAACTCCTTAAGCCGAGGCAGTATTCCGTTCATTGCTTGCATTTCCATATTAAACTGCGTTTCAGTATCCAGTGTCAAATTCTCCACAAACCACCCAGAATGTTGAAGCACGACACCAGCCTCATAGAGATCAAGCAATTCCGACGCCACACCAGCATCTAAGGCCGCCTCGTATGCCAGCCGATGACCGACAGCCTCAACCAGCGTCTGACATCGGGGAAGCACACGGGCGCTGAATTCCTCCATTCTGTGAGCCCCTCCGCGCGAGTTTACGATATCTCGAGCATGCTGGAACAGACCAGTTTCGAATATGGCCAGGAGACAGAATGGATAACGTGGTGGTGGCATGCTATATCGTCCTAGGATTAACTCAGAGGTTAGCCCTACACAAGACGTTAGCTATTAATCCCGCCTTTTGTCCAAGATATACGTCACTTATGCTAAGAGCCAGGGTGTCTCCCTCTGCGATAGAGTTCCCACGAGCTTCAATCTGGTTATCAATGATGTTGTTATACGCGAACAGACCCTGCGCACCGCAGCGCTCGGCTAGGTGATGCAAGCTTTCCTGTGTAGCGCGAGTGAGAACGGCTTTGAAAGCGGCAGCGATACCCTGACGCACGATATATGGGATTTTCGGGTCCATGTAGTGCTGGATGCTTTCCTGTGCGTAGGGATCGAAGACAGAGATCTGAGCTAATGCATGAACAATCGGACGCTGTTGTGTTCGGAATGCTATAATCGGCCGGGGGCGATGGCTGGGTCCCCATATATATCGACGGAAACTGTATTTTCCCGCTACGTAAACGGATCTTTTCAACGCCGATATGAGAACTGTGGATAGAGATAGTGTGCCAATGTAGACGCGATGGATGGCGGATCGGAAGCTCTTTCGTGAGTCTCTTAGTGCATCGAGCGATCCGAGAAGGGCTGAGTGTGGGAGCCGGACGTGCTTGAAGGATGTGATACAATGGTCGAGTGGCTTGGATCCTGCTCGCCCCGGGAGGACTCTGGAAGTTCACATCAAGGGTTAGATCATGAAGACTCCATGGGCTCAAAAGGTATTTACTTCGCGTATATGCCTGTACACATTTCATGACCATCATTCAGCCAGACGAGAAATGGTCTGACGCCATGATCCTTGTCATCAACAATCAATCTGGCGATAACAATCCCGACGCGGGGAAAGCCTGGTATAGGGGACGTTGCTGGCATAAACCTGAAAGGTGAATCACCGGTCATTGCTAGCAAGCCCGGGGATTACTTACTTGGCTGCGTCCGGAGTCGGTGTATAAAGGTCGAAAGCGCCATCGGGAAGCAACGTAGCCACAGTCTCGATGGCCTGAGCATCCAAACCATGTCCGACCTCTGTCAGAAGGAACTGTCCTCTGGTACCTGTTAACGTATTATGGAGGCCCACATGTCGGAGAGGACACTTACGACACCTCAAAGTTGAGTAGTGGTTCGATAAGAGACTCAAGGTCCTTTCTATGTCTTAGAAAGGGAGCCAGAGTCCCCACACAGAGATTGTACTGGGTCGCCAACAGACTGAAAGCAGCCGAATCTAGAGTATGGATCATGTCCTGATGAAACTGCCAGAATCTGTCGCTCAGGTACAGTACATCTTCCATTTTGAACGCTGTATACCAAATTAATCGGCGCCAGAACATTGGTCAGGGAACGTACCGTAGGCTCTTGCTATCGCGCGGGCTCGATGGTATGCGAGGGCGATCTTCTCGTCTCTGGTTGCATCGTCGGTTGAGACTTTGAAGAGATCTAAGCTGAGCAGGGTTGTGGAATCAAAGGGCCTTTGGAAGTGAGAGCTGTCTCCGTTAGATGCCATCGCGATAGACATGTGGAAAGCATTTATCAAGAGAGAGTCGTCCGTCTGACAGACTCTGTACTGGCACAGAGACAAATGAAAGGCTGCTGGTAGCTTCAAGTCACATGGTATAAGCTTCTCACTACGGACAACACTCGGCATAGCCATACACTGACCGGCAAAAGTAGTTCTAATGCATTTCTTCACGGCATAGGCAGAATTTACGAGCTAAGCATGACATATAGAGCCTCTATCCCATCCTTGAGTCCTACCACAGCGACATGCACATGTCAATTGTCATAGTTGTACTCGGATCGTACAGGCAGAAGCGCCAATCCACACCGAACCAGGAAAGAGTATCCTAACCGAGATTATCTGGTTCAAAGTAAAATTGTAATATCAAGCCACACACGGTGGAGGTGGCAAAGAGATGTCCGGTCTCTATTTGGCGGCACATCACAGCTGCGTCACTATGTTTATATCACTGTACATGCTTCTCATTCTCCGCCTGGCCTCCACATACCCATCAGTCATCAGCTATCGATCAGCACGCGGGAGCCAGTGGTGTGCACTCTCGTCATAGTACAGGGTACAGGTGACAGAAGCGATTTATGGGGAAGGATCTGCGGCACGGGTATTTGACAACGAAACAGATCATGGTCTAAGTACCGGCAACATCTGTTAAAGTTCAGAATGCGCCACTAATGGAGGAGTAGCCTTATCCAATGTCCGTTGTTTGACAGGAAATGTCAACTGGTGTTGTAAGAGCGTTGCACGTTCATGTCATGTTCTACATTTCACTATTTGTTGCGCATGAACCCTATCTCGAACTGGATGTCCAAAATAGCAATTTAAGACCCTTTCACCCCGATGCGTTTGTCCTGCCCTCAGCTGAGCTTATGCTAATGGCTCTACCTGGTCCGAGCTATCCAGCATGGCAGCAACCAATTCCTCATCCCAGCCATATGAGTCCGAATCACTAACATCATCATCCACGACGCATGCTGGAGAGGCAAAAATATGATTCTGCTTAGTTGGTGTTGCCGGTGCTTCCATGCCGAGCCACCGCTTTCTATACCCACGGCCACCTGACCCCGGAGTCAGCAGCCCAGAGCTGATAATTTCGAGGTTTCGTGGTGTGCTCGTCTCCACGAGTCGATGAGGCGGAGTTCCAAATCGTCGAAGAGGTCGACGCCGCGCAGTATTTATACCCTCCTGTACAAACAGCGAACGTGCTACCGGCGTCGAATCATCCCCTCTGAGCAGTCTTTGTCTACTCCGAGATGGCGAGTCGAGAGTCTCTTCTGACAAATCTAAACACAGGTTACCCTCTTCTTCCTCCATCCCCAACATACGATGAAACATGCAAACGTACCGCTATCCTCAATGTCATCTCCGGGGAGCTCGTCTAAGCTCCCAGGATCCATGTTTACCCGCTTCCTCTTCAATGATGACGATTTCGGTGGCGTCAAAAACTCCCTTATATCGGTTTGTTTCTTCGGAGTCTGCGGAACAGCCAGACGAGGAACAAGTCCCTCTACCTGAGACGCTTCGTTAAACCATATCAAGCTCTTGCAGTGCTCTTTGTCTTTGGAGTGTCTTCTACATGCGAGATCTGGTCATCGTCAGTCTTAAGTTTGGTTAGGTGAGAGTGAACGGAAAGATATACATTGTTCTCCTCGGTATGGGCTCCCCATATCCTTGACTGTGTACCTCCTCATAGCATAGCCACATCTGCAAAGGAGGGTTTTCTCTGCGTCGATTGTTACTCCAGTGTATGTAGAGCGGAGGTGGGACATTGGGAGAGTATAGTTGAGCTGTGCCGTATGGCTTGTGGGTTTATGGGGAGAATGGTAGGGTATATGGGATGAAGCTACGGACAAGGTTGAATTATGGTATGTATTTGCTTTGTTCAACGGTGACGTGGTTAAGCGCCGGTGTGGGGTCGGCAGTTGCATTGTTACAATCTCGTTGTTATTGGTCGGTGAGGCGCTATCCGCATGCATGCTGTACCAATGATCTTTTAGACATCGGGCGATGGGACGGGATACTCCAGGAAATATGATGATGGCAGTAATGGTGATAACAACTCGAAAGTAGACAATCACTCACTACATCGTGTGTTTCCTGTAACTGGGCCCAAATCAGCCTTGCGTCCAATCAAGTAGCTTGTAGCTAGTACTCATCCTTCAGAGATGATATAGCAGAGACCCATCCATGCTAGCTACCTACCAATTGCATTCAAATTTAATATATTACTAGCTCTTAGAATGGATTCGAAAGTCGGGTCCCCTCCACATTCGCTTCACATTCACCTTACATGACCCATGAGCAGCCATATGTGGTAGAGATCTACTAGTAAAGGGTAAAGCTATGGTCCATCACTCACACCGCACTCCGTCTAAATCTCAATACTTGCTATAACTAAGTCCATCACACAGAATATAGGGAAGAAAAAGACTCGAATACAATCGGAGATGAGTTACATACCACAGCCCAAGGTAGCTTGAAATCGCCCAATTAGGGCAGCATCGACTTAACAATTCATTAATGGTGCTTAGTCATTAATGCAAATGCATATCTTCCTTGATATTAATGCTAACCTTTTATGGTTAGCTCTATACATAGCTTTAGAGGGAATACTGTGAAATGAAGGTAACTCCTATGTATAGAGAATACAAGAAGGCAAGATTGTATGTATGATACCTATATATTGCCTCATTATCACAGGTGAGGACATTCTGCCTCAAACCCAAGCGCTGTTCATTTACTGTTGAGCAGAAATACAAATATCCAAACCAAGTATCATGGAGGAATGGCTAACTTATATCCACAGTGTCAATTTACAGAATGGGAACTTGGATCCCACGTGAAATCCCCGGTATTACTATTAAATATTAATTACAGAGAAAAGTGAGAGTGAATCTGACCGAAAGTCCGATCTGGAGACCGAGACCACAGACAGTGAATGAAGACATGTCCACCACGACACAGGTATAAAGATTAAAGGCTCTCTACACCTACCTCATACACTACCCAGCTGACACCAAAGATACTCAGTCACATCTACTAGTGAGAATTACTATCTATGCTTGTATCCTATTACTTCTAAACCGAAAGATTGAATGCACCTTTTTATATACATTACCATAAAGCCGTGCTATCGTAACATCATCATCGTAAGGAAAGGTAAAGAAAGAAACAAACAAAAACAAGGTATCATAAAAAAAAAAAAAAACAAGACGAGATTAACCTCCACATCGAAGTAATACGCAGTATAAAATGCCCCAGTATCACCGCATAGCCATACTAGCAATAATCACCGAGCTCATATTACTACCCGTCGCCGTATGAGCCCCACGTCTCACGACAATCTCCTCGTTCGCCATGCGCGGCTCTAACTGAAGACTTCGGTCATACATGTCGCTCACATCCTTTGTGGCTCTGAGGTTCCTAACCAGGAAATCTTGGATTTCAGGTACGGGTTGTAGATTGTAGGGCATGTTTTGATACTGTTGGATGTCTTGTAGGACTTCTGCTACTTTGATGCGTTTGGCGAAGTTGATCATGCCTGATTGGGTGAGGTCGGGGATGCCGTCGTCGATGAAGGTTAGGTCTGTGAGATAGATTCCTATTTCTTTGTCAGTAGAGTACAATCAAGGTAGTAGTAATAATAACAATTAAAAGAAAAGGAAACGAAAAAACAAAAAAAGGGGTGAGGGGGGAGAGGATATACAGGAGGAAGTCTATGCAAATACATACCTAAAAAAGGAACACAAGGTGGACTAGTCTGCCGCAACGCCTCCCGATACTTGGCCCAATTCTTCTCACTCGACATTAAATCCCGTAGCTCCTCAAGCAGGCTCCGAATACGCGGATTGACAAGACCCCATGTCTGCCGGAGTCGAAAGACAGGCGACTGCCCAAGACCAGACACAATCGACATCAAAGTAGCATAATTTTTGATCGAACGACATACCTAACAAGCCTCATATTAGACAGAGCACACACACACACACACTCACAGAACAAGAACTTACATCAGCCGCCTGCACAAACAGCTTGATCATCGACACTCTCTTCTTCAACTCATCCTGAGCCAACACAAGCTCGCCCACGTAATTAGCTAGTCGATTCGAATGCAGAATCATGGCATTGACACCTGTCGACGGCTCCGTGCTATTAGACCGCCGTTTCTTCCATTTCTGGCTGAGGCATTCATTAGGTCGGATTCGGGCGTGGTGGTTAAATTCGATGATCGTCAGCTGGCGGGCGAGTTCGGTAGGATCGAGGTCTAATATCTTCAGCTTTTTCATATTCTTCGGAGTGATCGGTTTGGGAATGTTGGAATTCGGGGGCGTAGCGAGGCGTTTCGTGATCTCTTGGCCTTGTATTCGCTGATCGATGGCAGTTATCAATTGCGGGGCAGTGGGTGTCTCCATTATATCCGCTGAACTCTTGATCTGAGAGTGCATCTTTTTGAGAAATTCCGTTGTCACTTCTTCACATGGCTCCATCCAGAAACGTTCCAGCCATGTCTTCAGAATATTGACGACTCGAAGACGAATTGCCTTTTGTTTGTGCTGGGCCCACAGCTGCATTTCGGATTGAGTCAATTGACCCGGTGGATCGACGTGGAATCGCTGGAGGAGGGCATCGAAGAGGTCCGAAGCGGATACAAAGGTGGGATAAGTGATCAGGAAGGTCTCGTTGAACGTAAGGTCCAGTCGGTCATGGCGCGTCAATTGTTCCACGAGTCCAGTCAAGCTACCACTCTTCAGCACTGGCCGGTCGGTTGTTTCGTAGACCACCTCATCCTCATGATCCAATTTCAGAAACCAAGGGGCATCAGTAGACACAGACTGTGTCCTGGAGCGTACCGGTAAGGTAGCCTCATGCATGATGCTCGCACGCGACCTCTCAGGAAAGAAAACACGGGTTTCACGGGCGCCGTGGGCTTCATTAGCAGAGCTGGGGCAAGTGTCGTAGCCAAAACTTAACAACGAAAAAGGAACAATTAAATCAACCGCCCTAACAGACCCAAAGAAACAGTAAATCAACCAAAGCGGACCAAAATTAAACAAGGTGGCATGTCATCGGCGGAAAAAGTACAGTCAGTAACTTTAGCCTAACGGGTCCGACTTCGCCCTAAAATCAGTTATCAATCTTATCGCCGAGACGATCAACTGCTGGTTGACTGGCTCTTCGGATACTACCTACGTTTTGGGACTCCACCCCACATGAGCTATTTTATTTATTCCTTTTGCACGGACAAAATCTGTCTGGCTAGCCTGTCGCCTGTCGCCTGTCGTCTGTCCCCCGATGGTTCGATGCATGTCCCTCCCCGGTGGGTTCTTTGCTGCCCTATTCCCACCATTCAGTATCCCCGCCAAGCCGCCAATGACGCGTTTAACGACCCTAGTTGGGATAGAATTGTGATTCCGGAGCAGTTGATGCCCGGCCTGTCAACTCGGTAGTTCACTTTCATTGCCATGGAGGGGCAACTCGAGTGTCAAGGTCGTTGAGATTTCGGGTTCCGCTTCGTCGGTACCTTTTCTCGGACGAACCCCTCGGTGTAACTTGATTTGGGATCTACAATAACAGTCATGTATGGGAAAATTAGGTTCAAAAGTGATTGAAGTTGTAAATTGTGTCTAAATGATTAAATATATGGTTTGATAATTTGTAAATAATCAAATAGCCTCCCTATCCACCCATATGATATACACGTGAAGAAGACAAAGAAAAGCAAATACAATGATAAAAAAAATGGCACAGGGGTATAGGGGTATAAACGTAACCAAAATCACAAAGTAAAAAAAAAAAAAAAAAGACAAAGAAAAAGCCCATCACATCATGGCCCCCTTGTTCTGCTTCTTGTCAACCCTGTAGTTCCTCCACATGGCAATGGCCGGAAGCCCGACGGCCATGACCGCCACGGCTGCAATACACCCATATTTCATGTAAGCCCCGTAGGCCTGGTTGACGGCGTCTCGAATCTCCGACCCAACAGGGTATTCGAGTTGTTTGAGGTAACCTCCGAGGTAAATATCCATGTATTGCGACTTGCTCTCGGCAGGGAGAGCATCCCGGAGTGCAGACGGGAAGGTGTTGGAGAAAATGGCAGCCGAGGCCGCGTTGCCGATCGCACCACCTAAGCTGGAGAACAGACCAATCATCGACAGCATCATTGGAACGCCTTCACGGTCGGAAGCGGCCATAACGGCCATGTCTTGACCGATGACAAGTGTTCCACCACCGAACGCGATGAAGATCTGACACATCACGATGTATCCAATGTTTCCACCGGCTGACCGGAAATGAATCATCAGACCGGCGCCCAGCATGACGAGTGGGAGGCCGAAGCATAAACAACTATATTTGAACTGCTTCGTGACGTATACCACGACTCCGAACACTGCCGACCAAAAGCATGACCCAACATTATAAATCTGTCCGACATATCCCGTCATGCTAACGCTGAGCCCGTAGACGACCATGCAGAAGTTATAGAAGTAGAGCTCCCACGCATAGTAACTAAAGAAAAGGCTGGCCGCCACGACACAGGCTCCGAGAACGCTCCGGTCCTTGAACAATGCGTACTGGATGAAAGGCGTTGCAGTGCCGTATCGTTCCCAGGCAGCGAATACGAAAAAGAGAAGGACACCGACCACGACCATGACGATGAATGTCGGACTGTTATACTCGGCTCGGCCGTAGGATTGCAAGCTGAAGGGGAGGAGGACCAACAGGAAGGCGGCGGTGAGGAGGAGGGTGCCGACCACTATAGAAAGTCATAGTTAGCTCGGTCCGTCAATCATAGCAGCTAATGCATACCATCAAATTCATTCAGCCAAAAGATGACGGACTGCTTCCATGTGCGACCGCTCGGCTCCCGCACAAAGATGAACATCTTCTCGGCTTTGCGCTGGTAGAATTTGAACACGGCAATCAGAGGAAGGAAAACAAACACCTGCGCGATGGCAAAGGTTCCATAAGCCCAGCGCCATGTTGAGTGATTGACAAAAGACTGAGCGGCGATGGGGCCTGTGAAGGCTGTACAGATGAAAGGCGTACTGGCGAAGCCGAATGCAAAGGCTCGATTGCGTAGTCCAGATGTATCAGCCATGAACACATCAAGGATCAAGAAAATGGCGTCGTATCCAACCCAGTACAAGACATAGCCGACGGCAAAGGAGCTCGGGCTGTTGCAAGCGGCCAGAATGATTAACCCAAGGAGGTAAACGGCGAGGAACAGCGAAAGGCCTTCTGGGCGCCCCCAGATATTCAGGAGCTTTGCAGCAGGAAGTCTAACTACCCCGCTGACGACACTCGCAACGATGCTGGACGTACTCACGGCGGGCGCTTCTTCGAAGTGGGCGAATGCGTTGTGGATAACATTGGTACTGACGGCGGACTGTAGGGCAAGCATAAAGAAACCGAGCCAGACTCTTTCAAGTCGACATGTTAGTAACAAAAACGGAAACAGAAGGTAAAAGGCAGCACTATGTGACTTACAAAGCGTAGGTCAGATAAGCAGTCTTCTTACTCCAGGCCAATGCGGCTGCTTCAGCCTTTCGAATACCCAGTTGTGCGCCTTGGGTGACCTCCTCGGACGGTCTCCGAAAGGGTTGTTTCTGTGGGCTTTCCAGACTGATCGCATCGGGATTGGGGCTGTTGTTCGCCGATGGCACACTGACCTCGTACTTGAGGTCTTTAAAATCCGCACCGACAATACTCTGGGCCAACTGCATATCGTTCCGGCCTCGCACAATATTGGGGCCCGCCATGGCGTAGACGGTAAAGTGCTGTACACCTCGATGTGAACTCGAGCAGTGAACTATAATTCCTGGGTGGTGCGATGGGGCAGATGGCTGGCTACAAGAACGAACGACCGGGGGGTCGCAACTCTTTTCTACATAACTAGTCTAGAGAGATACGATCTGCCCATCGGTGTACAAAAAGCAATGGTGATCTGGTCAAATTATTACCGCAAGACGCGCTTCCCGATGGAGATCAAAGTTCTCTAGACAGACAGCCCATCACCCAATGACGGCAGCCGTGGGGTTGAATCAGGTTTGATCAGATAACCAGGGTTAGGTTTCGGATCAGATAAATGTCGCTTTCATTGGTGGGGCCTCATCCCAATAAGATAGTGATCGACGGCGTGCGAGGCTTAGTTCCTCCAGCTGAACGCGCACATTGACTAATAAAAATCCACTTGCTATTGCTGGTCTCCATCCGACTTCGCTTCTTGTGTGGCCCATCCCACGCGACTACCGTCACCACGTCCAAATCGGCCAGGAAGATAATTCAAGCGCAGTCGGAGGGGCTCTTGACTGGTATAACGTCATGTGGGAAGTCTTCCAGCTATGATCGAGCTAATCAAGGAGTATCGGCCTCCATTGCTGAGAAGGGAAATTAGTCACGGGTGCTCTCGGGAATAAGGAGGTCAAGGGGGAAGAAGCGAGATAAAAAAAAAATTTAGTATAGTGTGATATTAGCCACTAAAATCTGACAGGCACAATCGATATTACATGCGGGCCCCTCCTGCCCCTCGTGGCTTTACGCCATTAATTTCTTAATTAAAGTCCTTAACCTTGTAGACTAGTAGACCGACATGTGAGAACACTTGAATTGTATCTGTGCACTGCGTTGATCGTCTTGCTGTAAGAAAAGGGAACAAAATAATTGAGGTCCTCTGACCACATATTTTCAGCATATCCATAGGGTTAGGATGCCCTGACTCGCGTTGCAGGACCAGATCGAAGCATCGCACCCCCACGAGCAGTTCAAGAGAAAAAGAAATCATTCTGAATAGAGTTCACAGGGATCTGACATTCGATCCTACAATTCATCCCACTTGCCAAGGGCATCCTTCCTCTAATACTTCCTCTCACTATGGGTATCTCCAGCACTTGCGAAGGGAAGAGGAACAGAAAAAATACTACTCAAGTGGTTTATTATTGTGAGAGGGTCACTCTACATATGTTAATGTCGTAGATTCTTCCCTGGAGAGTCAGTATATACTCATAGTACTAGAATTGATCATACTGTTCCACCAATGACAAGTACCATTTCTACAAACATCGTGACATTAATATTATCATGTTAGAACATGTCCACTTTAGGTTCAAAAGAGAAATAGGTCTTGAGCCTACAAACTACTTGAGGCATTTCTTCTCTCTCGATTTTCCAGTTTCTTTTTCTTGGTTTTTTTTTTTTTTTTTTTTCTGCTAACCAGTATGGTTTCTGTCGGAAGTCGGAAGTTTCCGCCGAACTCGTCCGTATACGTTGGTCGCGCTCGGCGCGCTTCATCTGATTTAAATAATGTTAGCAAAACAGAACAAGAAACTTAAGCTGGAAATTTCCTCATAACTCCATGATATCCCTAGAGAAATATTGCTCTTCCCCATCTCTTCTGGTGTGATCGGGTTTATTCGTCCTCTGAATGTTAACATGGTTCACAGGTTCTACTTTTATATATTTTAGAGCACTCCGTATGTTAGTCAGTTGTTGCTGTGGAAGAAAGAGACTATTCATGTAGTGTACCATCTACCAACATGCATATCCAACCTTAATCTACATCGAACACACTTTGAACTCTGCAAAATCCATGTTTCAAGTACTAAGAGGGTACAGGTTGGTGATTGTGCGCTCAAACTCGACACTAGCCACATCTGTGGCTCATGCTTTACTGATTTGATAGAGAAGAAAGAAAGAAAGAACGAAATAAATAAATAAAAATAAATATACCAAAGCCCGGAACAAATACTATTCAACCAATGAAAGGCTGCAAGCAAGATTGCCTAGTCATGGACGTGCGCTAAGCTCGCTATTTTGCCTCAGCTGTGCTGATCAAATGCCGAATGGAAGCCGCATTCGGCAATGTTCGACTATGACTAGTCACCTGCATACTCGAAGAGGCTGATTCTCATGTACTGTGAATGTTGGGAATAAAAGGTTCGATTTTATTTGTTGCTGCCTAAGGCTTAGGTGAGGTGTGTGTGGTTGTTCAACCAGGAAAGAAACGATAATGGTGGTAGATTCGCGCATATTGTTATCCATCTGGTAGGCGACAGTCTTGCCTAGAAAAATAAAAACCTCGCAATATTACTCCATAAAGATCCTTGAGCTCATAGGTTGTTGCTCTAGTCAGCAGATGATATTCTAATGTGCATAAATCCCTTCATAGAAGTACGACACTATGTGAGGTATCCAAGGGATAGGCTGCTCCAGTACTGCCTGGAATAGAATGAGGCTCGATCAGGTAAGTCATTGCTGTGTTAGAGCGACTCTAAGGATACAATGCGACCGGAAATCCCCTTGCAGTTGCTTTCCTTGGACTTTTCAGTTTGATTGACTCCCTGGCCAGTGTCCACGATGCAGCTGCGGCAGGTGGCATGTAGGAATGCGTCTTATTGGTGACCACACTATACACCCTTAGGCACCACAAGGAGCTGCCTGCTAGCTACAATCTGGACCGATATACTATCTTATTGATGTTTATCGCAGTCATTAGAGATAAATATCATGAGAGCCTGACTGTTTGAAACGCTATTCATCACCAGTATCTTTGGTTTTCCCAGGACGTCCTTAATTCTATATTATCTCTGTGTGCTTCCTGATTGGGTTTCATCCGAGTCACTTTTACAAGAGAAAAAACAAAGAGAAAAAAAAAAAAAGAAAAAAGATTGACATTTCCTCACCACAAGAACAAAATGGAAGCGACCCTTGCAATTGAAAACACCCCACGCAACGATGAAGTGAAGTTGCAAGTAGTGCAGACCGTTGATGCCCTCAACGAGCACGAAGATACTCAAACTGAGACTGTCGCGCACACTGCGGTTACAGAATCCGTGGCGCAAAATGTTCAGAGTGCTCCAGAAATTGGTGAAAACAACCGAGTCATGGAGTTCTCAGCCGAGCTTCAGTGTCCCCTCAGTGAGACTTCGGCGGCAAACCCCGACAATCACCTAGCATTCACAGCCAAGTCGACCATCGATAATAGTACTGTCACTTCCCTTGGTGGAGAGGAGGCCACTAGAGGCCTTCTCAACTCCGTCCTATCGTCAATTACTGGCATATACTCCGAGATCGTTAACGAAGAGATCCGACAAGCTCGGGATTGTTCTCGTCAGAAGGACGCTCCAGTGAATGAGTGTACATGTTTCACTGGCTCCGAGAGTAAGTCCATTGGTATCCTTATATAAGTGAAACTTGGCTGGTCAACATGCTAACACGGGCTTTATTCAAGAGCCTGAACCTATTGAACCTGAGCCCCAGCCCGAACCTGAACCAGAGCCCGAGCCTAGCCAAACTGCAGAGAACACCGCAGGAGACACACAAAAAGAGACTGGTCCTCAGCCTGTGGCACCAGAGGATATGGAGGTTTCGCTATGCAAGATTGACGATGTGAGACCGCCCCCTTTAGTACATGGAGCGTGCTCAATCTCCGTGAGCGCATCAATGCTAAGCACGCATGTTGGCTCTAGGTATATGACAAAAAGGCCCACAAACGCGTCTTCCTCCCTTATGATTCCACGAGAGATGCTGTCGAAGAAGACAGGAGGTTGTCAAGCGACAAGTATGGTAAGTGGGTGTTGGTACTAAGACGCGTGTTTAACATGTGGAACCCCTCATGGAGCGAAAATTTCATCGATATAAAGAGCCCATTGTTGTTTCAGGTGTTATATAATGCACTCAGCGATGAAAGAGCAACTCTAGACGTGGAGTCTTCCTTACCGTGGCCGAACGACGGGGTTTTTCGATGGGTAAGCACGGAACACGTGAACAAGTTGACCATGCAGTTAGCTAAATAGCTACTTAGAGGAACTTGATCAGAGATCTTGCTGAAAAGAAGGGAGAGCTCTGCGTCAAGCACACGAATGTGCTGTTGCAACTTGTCGAGGAGGAATACGCGTCGGCTATTAGTGATATTGAGCACATGTTTCCCAAGTAAGCGATCTCTTTCAACATATTTGATGGGCTCATATCAATAGAGGGCCTCCAGAGGAACCACTACGTTTAGGATCTTGCGAGAAGCATTCTTTCCCAAGGACATTATTGTTGATGGAAATGCGGATATACCACGAGCATACCGAGTCCTCAGCGCTGACAACAGAACCAATGAATATGGAAAACAATATGTCCATATCAAGGCATTGTATATCGATTGCGACGGTCATGACTTTGGGACGAGGAGGGTGGAATTCGTAATTTGGGAATTCCCAGGCATTCGGTATTTGTCTGACCTTGATGTATTCCCATTGAAATATCACCCAAACCACCCCCACGTTGTCGGCGATTTGGTGGCTCGAGGCCGGCGGTTTGCGGCTTTGAAAGGCCAGCATTTCAAAGCCCACAGAGATGCATCGCAGAACAAACTCCGCCGGGTGATGATAGATACTGCTGCTATGAAACGTCTTGGCTCGTGCTCGATCAGGGTACACGATATCGAGCGTGAAATTATTGATGGTCAGCTGACCGAGGAGCATCTCATGCTGTGTACCGATAAAATTCCGGCATTCTCCTTCGAGGACAAAAGGAGTCTCACTGTGAGCATTGATGACCTCGAAGACATCGTGTTCAACCAGCAGCTCTTTCACCAGCTAGTCCTCCCAGGGCCTACAAAGGAAATGGTGCGTGTTATGGTGAAGAGCCACGTCAATGGCGTGGACTTTGACGACTTTACTAAAGGTTCGTCCCCTAGCTTCTTTGACTGGTGTGAAGACACTGCTAATATAGCTAACCCTTTTAGGCAAGGGAAAAGGTCTTATCGTGCTACTACATGGCCCTCCTGGGGTAGGAAAAACAATGACGGCCGAAGGTGATTTCTAATACTCAGTTACAAGAACCTAGACTGACCCCCAATAGCTGTTGCCGAGTATAGCCAGCGACCACTGTATACAGTTACATCTGGTGAATTGGGTGCTCATTCCCAAGACCTCGAACAGCACCTAACCCGTGCCCTCGACATTGCGAAAGCCTTCCGCGCTGTACTACTCCTTGACGAGGCTGACGTCTTCATGGAAGAACGATCCACCAAAGACATCGCACATAATGCGCTGGTTGCAGTCTTCCTTCGATTGTTAGAGTACTACCAAGGTATTCTAATTCTGACCACCAACCGAGTCAAGAACATTGACGATGCGTTCCATTCCCGTATCCACATGACTCTGAAATACGCAAACCTGGGTGTCGCGGCCCGCGGGAAAATATGGCAGAACTTTGGAGTGCATATTGGTGGTCTTCAGTTGTCTGAGCAGGAATACCATCAGCTTGCACAGCACGAGCTTAACGGACGCCAGATCAAGAATGTGTTTGGATTGTGTAAGGCTTTGGCGGCTGATAAGGGGCAGGAAATCTCTTTTGATCTGATAATGATGGTCCTTGATGTCATGGAGTCTCAGACGCCCAGACTTGGCACGATTTAATGAGGGATGGTCTTTTCGGTTTCTTACGAATCTCGGGACTATACAATCCATTAGCTTTATTTATTGTGCTTTCGCATATATGGTAGCGCTGTGAGCTGGGTACACTTAATTCAAGGCCTTTGAAACACATACTACAGTGACCCGTCAACGTCATATCTCAATTGATATCGCTCGCTGTTCCTGATATGAGGTTTTTGATCCATGTCTATCACAAAGCCACACAGTACTTAGTTATATAGACTCTCTATATTATGAACTCACATTACTTCGTTTTGCTTGGGGTAAAATCGTCCTTGGGGGATTGGAGCAGAAAGAGTGATAGAGAAAGAGCTTGCGCTGTGATATGAGCCACCTCACGGACGGTGGAGACCGTTTTGCCTCTGATACAGAAGTAGCCTGAATAACACTTTGGCCATTCCAGCCTGGAAAGTATGATCATGCGTTGAGGATTAGATACGTTATCTGATTCACCCCCTTTCCCAATTTCATAACAGCGCTGCAATTTCAACATTTCTTGGTACGCTCATGTCCATACTCCCAGTGGCAACTGCGATTCTCTTGCCACCATCAGCCTGAACCCACTTAACAGGACCAGGTGGTATGCATTGTCTTGGTGTAGTCCATTGCAGGCGCTGACGAATGCCATGATCCAGGTCTGGGAGCATTCCATTCTGGAACGCAAAGCCACCTCCGAATTTCGTCGGAATATTCTCTTTGTCAATAAAGCTCTCCAGAGTCGGATAGACCTCTGATTGCTTCAAGACCACCACTTTGGCTGCTGTAACAGGATCCACCCATTTCTTGAAGATATTCCATATTGTAGAGAAATACGACGGAACGTTGCAGACCTAGTCCAGAACCCATTAGAACATGCCTTTCCAACCTCTCTTTATACACTTACAAAGATACGCTCAATAGTTTCTGGGTAGCATGTCATCAGTATCCAGCTGACTTCCTGCGCAAAGTCTTTCAGGTTCCACGCTTGTTTTACGCATACCACAGATGCGTCAACGATATAAACCGCGTTACTGATGGGCGTTGACAGATTTGGTCGGTCACCCATAGCCGAGCAAAGGGGCAGGACGAAACGGGTCAGACTACCGTGAAACACCATTGCCCGTTGAGACATGTTCGGCCTATCTTTGGGGGTGACAGTTGGGTCAGTGCAACAGGACATTTCCCGCGACTTCCTCCATTCAGCTATTCCGGACTGGTCATAGTGAGCCATATCTACCATCAGGATTGGTGATCCACGTTTGTCTCGACGGCCGGTCCAATGGGGATACTACAGCTCAACCTTGTTAGTTCACCGTGCCAAGATAGGAACAGTGCCGGACTAACAAACTTGCGCGTATGTTCAAAGTCATCTACATGGATGGTCATATACAGAGAAAGGACATATTGTTCTTCACGAAACTTAGTTGCCTCTTGGAGCTGCTGGAGAGCTCTATGGGGGTTCAGACGACCTGCTTTAAAGAATCGGCTTCTTCGGTTAATACGAACGTAAGTACCGGCGTATCACTCAGCTGAAGCTTACAGTAACGTGACTTCGTCATTGATTCCATCCTGGACGTCTCCCGCGTCTAGGCGTCTAGGTCTTTCCGACAGCCCATGTTCCGTACATATACGATTGAAAGTCGCGAAGCGTTCTGTCTCCTCTTTGCTTAAATCCATTGTAGCAGTATATCGCTAAGTTGCGCTGAAGACTGTACAACTCTAACGAAAGTTTTGGACACTGCGATTAGCAATTACTAGGCCACGGCAGCGCAGGCCATGGAAGGTCCAGTTGTATCAAGTCTGCATTCAGCGGTGGAGGAATGTATGACGTTAGCTGGGGCGTGGAGGAAGTGAGTACTGTGGAGACAGGGTAGAACTTCCTTTCTCACAGCCCCAGCCATTGCGAAGACTAGGTTCAAGAATGATCATTGTCCTTGTTTCCATGCGGCGGCAGAGAGGCATGGTGACCGTCCAGCCTTGGTAGGATGTCAAATGCGCACGCCAAGACCGGCGCAGACCACCCTCAACCTTGACGTCAAACTGTGATCAATATCGGGCGGCGTCTTTTTCCGCAACATTCTCTGCCGAACCATTAAACCGAACTGGTGGGACTGGGTGGGCCAAGGCTTTGGCAGATTGAGAGCCGTGGTTCGTGTTCCCGGTGTAGATCCACTCAACGAGCCACTCACAACCGACATTTCGAGATATTGTGCAGAGGATCGACAATCTCAACCAGGTTTTGGCTCAACTAGGTTCGTCCAAAACAAGGTCGAATTCACTATGCTTGAGCCGCTTCCCTGGGTTAGATTTCGGACCCAGAATGGTGGGATTATAGGGCGGCTCATCCATCCGGTCAATTTCATCAAGTTGACGAGCGACTACGACATCATGTAATGAAAGTGCAAATTGTCTGGCAACTTGCTAGATGAGTTCATATTTAAGAGCGCCATAATAAGATCGACCTTCGGAAGCCATGGGTCTCCAACGAATATCGAACTGCAATAATGGAACAAACACTCTCGAACTTTGAGGACGACACGTCGTATCGTGTTGAGCGCTCGGCGCCGGATATTGAAGGCTTCTGTCATCACTATGCCATGCGCCAGCACAAGTACGAGGAGAAAGCAAACCTAGGATCCCTCCAATGCCGGGCAGACTGGGTCAAGTATATCGGTCCGATCGAGAGATGGGGAAGCTGCAATCCTTACGAAGGGCATTTCGGCTCTGTGGTCCTACCGCTGTGCAAGCCAGAGAGACTTGCAATCATTAGTTATATCTTCGAGTGTATGGGCCATTTTCCTGTAAGACATTGGAGTGTACATTATGCTAATACTGAATCTCGGTTCTCTATAGATGCCTTCTTGTATGATAATGTCGTTGAGTCATCTGCCAAAGCAACGGTAAGCATACATGGGACAACATGATTGTACAGCCAAATGAAGCTCGAGCCTAACGACAACCCAAAACACAGTTGAACACGCATGCAGATAATATTGGCCTCGACGAAACGGAGTACCGCACCGTACGATCGGTGTCAGGAACGAAACAGATTCAGTCCAAGATGATGCTTGAACTCCTCTCCATTGATCCAGTGTGTGCAGAAGTTGTTCTTGACGCTTGGAAAACGATGATCGCGACAACTGCGAAGCACGATAAAGCAAAGCCGTTCAGTAATATGGAGGAATATGTGGACTACCGAATCATTGACACCGGGGCACCGTAAGTATAAACGTTCGTCGAGTTTGTCGCGTGTTTGATCTCTGACAACCTTTAGCTTTGTCGATACATTGATGCGTTTTGGCATGGGCATCCTGTTGACAGAGGAAGAGATCAAGACAGTTGCCCCCATTGTCAAACATTGTTATGCGGCGCTAGGTTTAGCGAACGACTACTTCTCATTCGACGTCGAGTGGAAGGAATTCCAGGAGAGAGACTCCGACGAAGGTGGCATGACGAACGCCGTCTGGCTGTTTATGCAGTGGAACAATGTCGATATTGCAACGGCGAAGAGACTAGTGCGGGAGGTTACAAACCAGTATGAGGAAGAATACCAAAGGCGTGTTGAGGAATTTATTCTGGGCGAAGGACGCAACGCTACCAAGCTACACACTTACTTGCGAGCGTTGGCGTACCAGATTCCTGGTAACATAGCCTGGAGTTTGCGTTGCCCAAGGTACCACCCCGAACTTTGCGAGAAGGCAGGCCATCTTCTGGAGGATGAAATGTCCTCTGAAAAGGCAACGGATGTATTAAGTCACCCTGTTGATCAAGAGCGAGAGTCGAATACATCCGGGTCCGAGAAGTCGCCCGTGTGGACTGCCGATGATAATTCCTCGAAAAGGTCGTCTGTATCATCTATTGATTCATTCGCAGAGGAGGCTGAACTACCTAAGCAGGAGCAGCTGGGCACAGAGGTAGGGCGCATGGCGATCTATCATAGTACGTACTTGAAGAAGGGTCTGACACAATCTGGTATTTAGCACCTCTTAGGTCCCGCTGACTACATTCGGTCCCTTCCATCAAAAGGTGTCCGAGAAGCATTTGTTGATGCGATGAATGTATGGCTGATCCTTCCGAGCGATGTCGTAAATCGCGTCAAATCCATCGCAGAAACACTTCATAACGCTTCTCTCATGTGAGTCGGTACATTCATCATGCCAGCAATGGCTTCAAAAGACTCCTCGCCACTGATAATTACTTGCAATATAGGCTAGACGATATCGAAGACTCATCGCCACTCCGCCGTGGGCAACCAGCAGCCCATACAATATTCGGACAGGGCCAAACCATCAATTCAGCCAATTACCTACTAATACAGGCGATGGACCAAGTACGACAGCTTGACAATCCGAGTTGCATGGAGGTTTTTGTGGAAGAGATGCGGAACCTTTTCATCGGTCAGAGCTTCGACCTGTACTGGACTCGGCAAGGCGAGTGTCCATCGCAGGATGAGTACCTCGAGATGATTAGCCAAAGTATGTCATTTTGCATTATGCGTTTATGATCGCGTACTGATGGTTATTTCCTTGTAGAAACAGGCGGTCTATTTCGCTTACTCGCTCGGCTGATGACGGAAAAGGCATCGTCACATCACAACAGGTAGGGCCCATTCCAGTTATTTCAAAGAATATAGATCTTAAGCTAACCCCTCCTCCGTAGCACTATCACGCTTGACTCGCTCGTCAGCCTACTGGGTCAATACTTCCAGATCCGCGACGATTATAAGAATCTAACAGAGGATGTGAGAATTTACCAATCCTTAACATCTTCCCGACTCAACTGACATGTGTATAACAGTATACGACGCAGAAAGGATTCTGCGAAGACCTCGACGAGGGCAAATATTCCTTCCCATTAGTTCATGCGCTCACTACGCAGCCGCAAAACTTCCGTCTGCGTGGTATCCTGCGAGAATCGCGAAACACCGAAGGCATGAGTCTGCCCCTGAAACAATGTGTTCTGGAACAGCTGAAACAGGCTGGGAGCATGGAGCATACGCACTCGATACTGGAAAAGTTGATGAAGGATATCATGGGTGAGATTGGGTCCCTGGAACAGAAGACAAAGTGCTCGAACTGGGTGCTACGATTATTGGTGACTCGACTACGAGTTTGAGGAATTTTTGATTGGGCTTTAATATATTATATAGAGTTGGGTTATGAGATTGTATGATAGCTTTTTGTTGGTAATTATTATGGAGGTGTCGAGGGCTAGAAATATATATTCTTGAACACGTGCATATCCAACCGCAGACATAAATCAACGACACGAAGTGACCTGATTCTTCTTTACTCCCACCTTTTCCATCATCCATACCACACAATAAAGCTCTTTTCTCTATTGCCTTAAATTGTATTCCCATATTCCATAGAGTAAATTAGACTCCTCTATGCACCCGTCTACTCGCTCAATAAAGTGGGCCTCGTATTCTCGACCAATCCCGCGATAGAAACAGCATCCACTAACCCTATCGAGAGTGAAATAACCTCGACAAAGTGATTTCGATGCCAATCCATGCTCAATCGGGCAGACTTGGTCTGGGCAGTGAAAAGACCCTGTCAGGGGCCCACATGCACGGTCGTATTCTCAGCATGTTTCCTCTTCGAGCTGACACCAGCGACACATCGTCAACTCCGCATACACAGCACCCGATCGTCGTTCCGGATAGAGTAATATACCATGGTTGGAGTTCCGAAAAGTAATGCATGTCGGACATGCTTGCGCAGACGGGTTAAGGTTAGTCTCAGCTTTCATCCAGTCAACTCTCTATGATAGCCAGTAGGGGTCCAGATCCCCGCTGCAATAGAACCACGAGGATCTACGTCTCGTCCATGCAGGAAGCAAGCACCTCCTCTAATATAGAGTCCAAAAACCTACAGTGCGACCTAACCCAACCATTCTGCAACCAATGCACCAAGCGCAATCTCGACTGCCCTGGCTACGAAAAACGGTGGAAATTCATGCACCAAACCAAAGGCTCCATCCAAAAAGGCCAGCAGCATAACGGCCGCAGCCAACCCCAACCCCCCCACAGAGAAGCTGCCCTGGTCCGAGCGCGCCAAAGCATCGACGAACGGGTAGAGCCGAACCTAGCGGCTGCGGCCCTAGACCTCCAACAGAAGGAGGTCTTCTGCACGTTCCTACTAACCAGTTTCCCCGCCCAGTTCGCCTCCTGTGGCAAGCGGGTTGAAGTCAACTGGATCGACTATGCGAGACGCCCGCTCCTGACTGCGCCCCAGGCGTTGGTCTGGGCGTACCGTGCACTGGCGACAGTTTTCATTGGTCGGAAGTATAATGATATGAACAAGGTTACTTGTAGTCGACATATGTATAGCCGAGCTTTGAACTATCTGGCTGGGGTTATCCAGCATCCGAAGTTCGCTACTACGGAGGAGGCCCTTGCTTCTGGGATCCTATTGACTATGTATGAGATGGTGGATGGCATTACGGGAGCGTCATGGCTGACGCATACGCGCGGACTGGCGACGATGATCCAGATGCGGGGACAAGACGTCCATCGATCTGGGTTTGGATTGACATTGTTAAAATCCTGTCGAGCGTTTTTGGTCGCCGATGCTCTGATCCGTGGGGAACACTGCTTTCTCGGCGAGCCACAATGGAGGGCATTTCTGAGCGAGTTAGCCGATATGGAAAGCCAGAGCCCGAAACGAAGTGAACTGGGACTCATTGTCGATCGAGCATTTATAGAGATTGCCTCCTGTCCCGGGTGGCTAGTCGAGACACAAAGGTTGATAAAAGCTGATAACCCGGAGGCCAGGGCAAGTCTAATGCAAGAAATTGAGTTCGGCCGGCATCGACTGAATGAGCTTCAATCAGAGCTTCAGTGTGCGCTCGTTCATCAGCGCCAGGCATCTATTCTACATTGGCAAAGTTTCGTCGGCCCCATCCCCTGGGACTTTGTCGATCCGTTCGCGCAGTCTTCGCTGTATGGTATGCGATTGGGTATTTCTCTGTTAAGTCAATTGCATGTCTTACTCCGCGCGGACCTCTTTCGGCGGCACTATGTGACAGAGCCTTGGGATGATCCTGAGATGCCTGGTTTGCAGTCGCCGAATCCGTGGAGTGCCTTGGATGCGGATGCACCGGAGTGGCAGGTTCGGTTTGATCCGGAGTATCTGCGGGATTCGTATCAGATTCATCCGAGTGGGAATGAGGATTGGATGGATCGTATTGCGATGTCGATGGGGATGTTGGGGATTCGTGCATGATCTAGGATGTTTACTTATATTGTAGCAGGTATGATAGTATTGGCTTTATTTGGATTATACCTTATCACCAGCCGACTACCTAATAGTTCTTCCATCTTGATACTATTGTTCATAATGTTATTATTAGCACACGGCCCTTACACGAATTATTTTTTTTTCTCTCTATCTGGGGCCGTGTATAAAGATATGGAGGACGGCTTTGTAGCAATAGTAAATTCAGTCGCACTCCACATGCCACGGCAACATTTAGCAAGGCTTCCCTGGAACAGATGGCTTATCGACCGAATCCATATGGCAGTCGGTCTCACTACCCCTTCAGAATCTTGGCTAGTTTGAGAAACTCCACATTCTTATGTGTAGACTCAGGAAACCCCTCGGTGCTAGTATTTATTGGGTTTGCCGTCGAGATAACAGCGAAAGCCATGCCTGCTGGCCCGGTAAGAGCCGCACAAGCCCAATTCTCGCCATCTGCATCCTCATCCTGCTTGTGGGGAGCTTGACCACAAGGAAGCTTAATCTCCCATTTGACTGCAATCGGCTTACCACTATTCAGCCCCCCCAATACAACAATCGTGGGCTTAGGCGTCTTCTTTCTCAGCGTGCCTTGCTTGTGAGCTAAGCTATACTCGAGAGATATCATCACCTCGCCAGAGGCAACATTAGCCCGATGCTGAATGATCATTGAATCTGAAGGAGAATTTCTCCTTTTCTTGTTCTTTGAACTTTTACCATTCGCTGAGTTCGTTGCGACCTCTTTCACCACGGCCGTCTTATCATTCCTGTGCCTCTCACGTAAACGACATGTATTGGTCTGGAAGCTAAGGTCATGGTCATGGATGGTTGTATCATAGCTAGTGATTAGTACACGTAGTATGGAATGGACTTAGTCGCCAAGCACTGATGATGATTGCAAAAAGTTTCCATAACTTAGTCGGGACTTTGTATAGGGTATAGAATTTGCACGTCTGGGAAGATGCCAACCCTATTTTATCGGTGGCTTCCCGACTCTTCGGCCGAGCCGAACGGATATTAAGGACTAAAAAAGAGCCTAACAGCCGCTGTGACTCTCTCCTGGTGATTTTGTCTTGACGAGGTCCCGGAGCAGTGTCAGGTATACCCTTGAATGAGCTAATAACTAGCTAAACAGCTCATTAAGACTACAGGTTCATACGTCATATGATCGTGGCATATAGTTAATTTGGTGTTTCCTTCCTACAAATGGCTTGACTCGATAATTGATGAAGGTTTTTCCTACCGCATCATTGCTCCTCAACATTCACTCGAGTATAGCCATACACAATATGGGACTTCTTCCCAGCTTTCCACTCCGGCCGTCGGCATATCTACTCCTTCGGCCCAACGTTAGTCGCCTCGTATTGTGTGACACTATTCTGTACTTCTCCCCTGTAGGGTCTTACAATATGAATAAACTAATTGTTAGCCTGACACAATTATACATCACTAACTATCATTAGTCTGAGACTAGACATACAAGGTTAGAGTTCACACTGGTGGTTTATTTAGGCTCTGAGTAGTTCACTAATATCCATTGATTCTAGTTCTATATACTGGAAATGCAAGATCTTTGCTAACTAAAAAAACAGGGGCATCGCAGCGAAGTGAAAAAGGGCACTACGAGGTCACTCCTTGTCTAGATATTTGGTGGAAAGTTTTTTTTTTTTTTTTTTTTTTCATACGGAAGCTACTTAACATAAGCAAGGTGGTCAACTAATCAAATAGTCCTTTGACCAGTTAGAGCCTAATTGTGAATGTCCAGCCAAGCAAGCGCCTTGTCGACAACCGCAGGCTAAAAATCTGAATTCTGGTGTTTAACAACCCGCAGGTCTGTAATCATCAGCTACAGTATCATTAAAAGGAGTTACATAACACCTACTTGTTTTGACTTAGCTTAACAATCTCCCTATTGAGATGGTTTATCTCGCTCAATGCTTTGGGACCTCCTGAACTATAGTATGCACTTCTTGCTGCGTCTCTCTGACATATATTTTAGTAAGGTGAAGTCACCGCTGCCTTCCTATATACTTACTTCCGTTTGTAATCTGCTCATCTGCTCTTTATAAGTATCACAAGTTGAAAAGCTGGGGCTGTTGTCGTCTGTCTGTCTTTGCGAGAGAGCCTGTTTAGGAATTGGTTCACCCAAGGTAAAACCAAGAGTTATAAGCGACAAGAAGAAGCTGAATCTTCATATTTGATTGGGGGTGAAAATATGCTCGGTAATGCAAATTATAGTAGACTTGGGTAATAATTACTACAAGACATTGTGGTATGGCATTGCCTTTCATATATGGTTAACCTGGAGTCAAAATACAAGGCTTAAATGATAAATTATAACTAATTAATGGATTTAATAGTTCAATCAATAGTGTCCTAGCGATCGACAGACTATTATCTAGAATGTGGATTTATGTATTGATCGACATCAATCGTTGTAAATCTATCAACCTGTAGATCGCTGAACAAACAGGTTGCTTTCACTGACCATAGTTCTTACCGAGATTGAGCCAACATGACTATCTATTAACTAGGTACAGGAATATCGCGTGTTACGTCGGACAGCTTCAGTCTTTACAATCTTATCAGTTATCATGTTTAGCTTCATCCACATAAACGAGATGGTATGAGCAGAAACCAAATCATAAGGAGACCAAATTCTATAGGTGCTTTATTTACTCCGTATTTATTAATTTTTCTTTTTTCGCGTTACTAGCCACTCTATCCCGTAGGGGAGGTATTTTTGTGGGTCCTCCTCGTAGGCTCGATACTGTTCTCAACTACACTTGATGGGGAGAGAGTGGCTAAGGCTTGATATTGCGCTGCATGGAGGGGCTGCCCTAATCACGAGAGCTTGAGACGTAACTAGACTGTGGCATAGCCCACTGGGTTACCCGTAAAACTATGTACCAATTTTGCGTAAACGAGCACTTCAAAATGTACAAAACTCCTGATTAATAGACATATAAATACAGTACTGATGTTTATCGCTGTTATGGCCACGATCATGCATAGAGTAGTCTGCGGGTCAGGTTCGGCTCCAAATGTAGGACCCGTCCCCCGAAACCACCGGGTTTGGATCGGGTCCAGTAGAGAACCCGATCTATTATAAACCAGTTACTCCAGTTATCTCATAGATATAATATATAAACTCATAGATACTGCTCTCAGAAAACATTAGTAATTTAGTTTAGCTATTAGCTTTAGCGCCAAAGGCAGTACTAGTAGGCTTTTAATCAGTAGACAGAGAATTCAGTAATAAACCGGGGTCCTGAGTTAGATATAGACCTCGTGAAAAAAAAAAAAAAAAGGGAAAAAAAACCCCGCGGGTTGGTCCTAGGTTAGGTCCAAACCCAAACTATTTTCTTGGTAGGTTTTAGGTTAAGAGTCCTAGTCTATAAATTAAATATAGACTTAAATTGTAGATCTACAGCTTTCTAATATATACCTGTAGATTAATCACCCCGCCCCGCCAACCTCGTCAAACCGTGAGACTTATTCCCGAGAGCCAAGCCAGTTCTTGTAGCTAATTCATTTAGAACCCTTGTAATGTATCGGATCTGGGTTACTGGCACTATATTCGCTTGTGGACACTGGAGACCGAGAAAGGAGACGAGAACTGCATCCATACCCTAAGAATCATACCGAGCCCTGGCCGGAAGTGCTCATGGGGAGAAGTTCTCATAACTGACAAAAGACATGGAACGGAAGTTGGGGAAATATTTCTGAAGCACTTCTCTTCACGTCCTGATTATACATCACACAAATGTTTTCAATTATAAAAGGCAAGTTGTCCTGAGAAAACTTTAGATTTGCATCTGCAGTCATATCGTATCTTTTAGTCAGGATGTGCAATAGCTCCTCTGAAAGAATGCCCCTGATGACATATCCTTAGAGATATGTTAGTCGAGGGAGAAATACTTTTTGTTTAGAACCTGGCAAGGGGTTTCCATATCAAATTTATATTTGCGGTAATGGTGACAATCCATGACCTCTTTCTTCAGATCTTCGAGGTTAAGGCAAACCTCAGTGCCTTCAGTGTAATGATAAGGACGCACATGATGGATATCTCATATGATGCCGTTGCTGGTCGGATTTAAACATCTTTCCTCACCCGCCCAACGTATCCACTATTCATACCAGGCATCCAAGAAGCTAATGGGGCTTAAAACGTCAACATGCACACGGTGACTGTTGATATACTAGGAATTTATAGACAATTAATTCTACAAAAGGATGATATGTTCTGCCTGAAACAGGATTCGTCTAAGTCTTTAATCGATGTTTTATTATGTGTATGCCTCCTCAAGTCCATTTTATATTCAAGCGGCTCGTTGTAGTAGTTGCAGTGACAGTCTTCTAGATGCGTGGCCCGGAAATACCCCCCAAAATATATGGGTTGAGTATACAGAGTACTCTTTTGAACGATGTTTACCTAGTTTGCCAGGGGCCTCTTGGTTTATAAATATAGGTTTGTATCTTGCAAAGTGCTTCTTCCCATGGTGATTGATCTACTACAGCAGAATAAGATGGGAAGTTATTCCAGTTATTCTGGACGAACAGCAAACAGACAAACTAAACAAACCCCATCCTCTCCCTCCATTGGCCAAAATATGGTTGCCTGACAACCGTCCCCACTGGGTTGCTCTCCGCCAATCACAACCATGGATACCAGCCTAGTAGGGCTGACGGGGTGGAGATGGAAAGGATAATTTTACAGTAATGGAGCCGCGAGGAGCCGTTCACCAGACAGAGTTGGGAGTTGATGACACCCGGGGTAAAAAAAGAAATTCCTCCAGGGCAGGTGACCGCTGCAGGGAAAAACCCCCCATCGTGGTCGAATTTGAGATTGTGTCATGTTCCTCCACCATCAAGACCTTACCAAATCCCGACAACCGGCGAACCGAGGACAATTCCACCAACGTGCCTTAGTCGACGATAGTTGAAGTTTGATTGCAGTGGTGATTGCGTGTTTGCCTTATCTTCCCTCCCCCGCTGTTTCGGTGCCTTTTCTTGGCGGGATTAATTCCTCCGTGGTATTCTTTTTTATTTTCCTATCTGTTTCACTGCGATAAATTCCAATCAATAAACCCCTCCCGTCACGGAATAAAAGAAACCGATGGCCACACCGACGAATGGCAGCCTTTTATCCGCCATAACCACCATTGCGAACACGTACCAATCTCGTGGCCAGACGAACGAGTCCTCCCGCCTGACCTCCGCGCTCGCCAAGCTGCGCGATGCACCGGACGATGACGCCATCGCGACCGCACACACACTCGGCCTTCTCGTCGTGACCTTCCTCGAACATGGTCAATGGAATGCTGCCGCTGATATTGGGAAACTCGTGGTCGAGGCACGGGTCGCTCTGCTCGGCTCAGAAAATCCCTCCACCCTGACCGCGATGAGTAATCTTGCCGCTGCTTACTGGGGGCAGGGGCGGTGGTCGGAAGCCGCGGACTTGGGGCGACGGGTCACCGAGATCCGGAGACGGGTACTGGGCGATGAACATCCACAGACCTTGTCGTCGATGTCGAATTTGGCGTCGACGTATGCGAAACAGGGTCTTTTCGCGGAGGCGGAGGCGATAGAGTCACGGTTGTTGGAGGTTAAGGGACGGACACTGGGGGAGGGCGATCCATCGACGTTGAGTACCATCGGGAATCTGGCGACCACGTATACAAGTCTGGGACGGTATGATGATGCCGAGAGATTAGAGCGACGGGTTGTGGAGCGGTGCGAGATGCTCTTAGGCGAGACGCATGCGTCCACGTTGACGTGGAAGTCGAATTTGGCGGTGACGTTCCGCGAACAGGGGAAGTTGGACGAGGCGATACGGCTGGAGTCGGCGGTGCTGGACACCCGCTTAGCCTGTTTGGGGAGGGAACATCCCCTGACTCTGACCTCCATGGCGAATCTGGCGACCTCGTATCGGGATATGCAGCGACTGAAGGAGGCAGAGGAGCTGGAGGTTCAAGTCACGGAGGTTAGTCGGGTTGTGCTAGGGGAGCATCACCCGCAGACGTTGATGGCGGCGGGCAATCTGGCCGCCACGTATCGGTGTCAGGAGCGATTTGCAGAGGCGGCGCACCTGGGGGCCAGCGTTATGTCGTCTATGAAGAGACATCTGGGGGAGGATCATCCATTGACCTTGACAGCGATGGCGAACTTGGCGTTGACATATCAACAGCAAGGCAAGTCGCACCAAGCAGAACGGTTGACGTTCCAAGTGCTGCAGTTGATGCGCAAGTCCCTTGGCGAAGCGCATCCCCATACGCTGACCACGATGGCGAATCTTGGTACCATCTACCAGTCCCAAGGGAGATGGGATGACGCGGAGAAAGTGGCGGAACAGACTGTCCGCGGCAGAGAGATGGTCCTCGGGAAGGAACATCCGGATACGCTGGCCTCGATGGAGGACTTGATGCGCGTTTACCGCGTGCTGGCTGCCGATCGGACGATGCAACGGGCTGCCATGCGATAGCGCGCAGCGACTGTTTGCGCTGTCAGCATTTACGAGTTATGAACATTGTCATATTTGCAGTTATTGAATCTGAATTCCTCGTAGAACGAGAATTTGAGTTAGTTTGTTCATCTTGAATTAGTACACCATCCTAGTAAATCAAGGTAAAAAGGTGAGACACCCAGTCAATGGGTGATCAAAATCAATTTCTCTGAGATCAGGTCGAGGTAAGGGATGACCCGCACCTGATATAAAATCCAGACTTGCTGCACAGCCACACTGCCAAGTCCGTCAACCAGTCACGACAAGATTCCATTAAGCAATAATTAAACATTCCACTTACCCACTCCCTGTCTCAAATCCTCCACTGACCAGTCAGATGTTCTGCTAAGATTCGTGGGTGGGGACCTCGTGTCACGGATCAATATTCGTATCTTTGAAGACTGCGGAAGTAATATAACGAGAGTACAAATGCAATAGACCATGTTACGAACCTCTCAATATCGGCGAATATTCCGGTATCTGTTTGTCTGACCGCAGTCTCGCGTGGCAGGGCTCTCTTCTCTGGCTTATTGTTTTACAGAAAGGAGTTATCTATTGTCGTTACATGAACTAGGTAGGGGTTATCAATTGGGCTCTTAGAGGTATACTGTGCATCTGTGCAACAATTCAATATAGACTGCTGGCATTTCTTCCCCAGTCTTCGTCAATGATAAATACTGGTGACGTTGCAAGTAGTTATCACGGTATCTGCATATCTATTGTTGATGTCACCTGTGACCACATGATCGTTCAAAAACCTCAGACCTCATCTTGCCCTGGATTCGAAACGTACCTCTGCCACACCAACGAACACCAATGAACCCAGCACCTTTAAAACAAAAAAAAAAAAAAAAGAAGACTATGGATAGAGCTGAGAAAATAGAGAAAGAGAAAAAAACTACAGAATTCAAGGAATTTTTCCCTAAAAAAACAAAAAGCTCACCTCCCGAGTCTGGCTCCACTGTGCCAGGCTGCAGAAGGTTACGAAAACCCCGAAGGATTTTTACTGTCGAGTTTTAGGCTCGATCGCGAGGCCCGAGACTGAGTGGCTAGCCTCGACTCCCACTGCACTATCAGGGCCCCGATGGTGGTATTTGGTCGATGTTGAGTCATTAAGTACGCTGGATTGCCGGATTGGGAAGATGTGCCTGCCTGGGTGCGGGTTGGAGCCTTGCGTATGAGGCACCAGTTTCATCGTTTATATAGGAGTTAGGCCAGACTTGTACTGGACTTTATGTACATGTCTGGGCAAGGATGGTATTAACATCTTGATAACTAACTCACAGCAACGGCCATGCAACCCAATACACATCCCGGATTTATCTCTTCCTAGTACTTCTGCTCAGTCTACCTAACTCGGTAATATGTCTTTTAGCTACCATAGATACCTCCTGTGAGCTGTTGTCTGGGTCGAGAAATCAGTTTGTAAGTTGGATACGAGAAGATCCGTATTCAAGGTCTTCAAGACCGATCTGTGCAGTCTGCTCTGAAAGTATACTATCCCATGAACAGATTTTGTTTGTTAAAGTACAGAATAGACAAGCTGAACAATACTTATGACCTCCAGCAAGAAAGAAATCATGTGTGCCTGTTATCCTTCTACCACCTTAGTACGAAGCACCAAAAAAATAGAAAATAAAAAAAAGGTAAGGCCGCGGTTATAAATGCCAGACTCGAACCATTGCTTTGACTCCGTTCCTCCAAGCCTTGAAGGACGCCATGGACATTAAGGACAGTTTCAGGCTCCAGATTATATGACTGTCGGACGGGATGTCGGCGCAAACGGATGGCGTCTTAAAACTCCATGTAACCCTGGCTCGGGCCGGCTTCCACTTGAGGTAAAGTGAATGTGGATCACACATCCGATTTCTATCTCAACAATTCCCCTATCCCTCTACGGTCACTCGTCGGCAGCGGCTCGGGCATATTCTACAGTTCACTAAGTCGAATATCTCAGTTTTTTCTCGATTGAAAAAAGGTCACATTTTCCCTCTTCCGAGGGCCTCCAATACAGGTTGGTTTTAGTCGTGCTTGGCATCGGAGCCCTATATGCACCGTGTCTGTGCCAAGCCCCAAATCGGTTTCTAGCCACAGCATCAGACCAACCATGTCAATTCAAGAGGGATCCTAGAGCGACGATACCGACAAGGTCTTCTCGCCGTGTACATGACCTAATGTATCAGTACTTTTTTCTGTGACTCCTGCCAGCCGCGGATAAGACGGTATCACGGACCTTACGATCCTGCGGCCCGAGGAGGAAATGCAACATATCTCCACCGCCGGTGCAGGGTTCATAATTCTATTCTGTCAACATCCCTGCTCAGGGGCCAGGTCTAGAAATTTGCCATGAATCATCTCTCCGTGAAAGGAACGCATCGAGCAAAGGAATCATATCCATGCTTCATGGAATATAGATAGAGTATACAATCCAGTTGCCCCAATTGCTGCTACAATACCAGAAGGATCCTTTGTTTGTAGGTCTTGGTTTGCCCAGACCATACCCCTGCCACCATGTGTTCGTGACAGGCCACCCTCGACCCGGTATGTTGGCTGTTGGGTTAATTAGTAAACGTAGTAGACAGGGGCACGCTGGTAATTTTTTAGATACTCTAATAAGTCCCTTCAGTCGCTGAAACTGACTACGTGCGTTTTCCCTGTAGTTTCACACCTGCAATGGGGAGGTTCACAGATACCTGGAAACCCGCAGTCAATGTCTTGACCTGGTTTCTGATGGTGACTGCCATCCTTGGCGTCCTTGCTAGACTGGGGACCAAGTACTGGATTTTTCGGCGGTGGACTACAGATGATTATCTTAGTATTGTCTCAATGGTAAGAGCACCAAGTGTCCGAAGCGAGTGAGTTTGACGAAGCGACGATTATTGATCTGTCTCTAGGTGATCTGCGCAGCACAATCCCTCGCTGTGTCACTGGCCACTGCCAATGGATACGGTGACCACTATGATACACTATCCGAGAAAAGCATTGAAAATATAATGAAGGTAGTATTTATCCTCATTTCCCATCGTCGAATACCCTCTAATAATCACTCAGTCACAATATGCCGCCACCATGCTCTTCATCCTAAGCATGTGCTTCTCGAAACTGGCCCTCGTCCATTTTATCCGGAGCGTAACACCAGCTGCCTCGGACCGCCGCGTTGCCTCAGGAATAGAGGTTCTGATTACACTGTGGGCAATCACCGGTGTCATTAGCTCTGCATTTCGGTGCAAACCGCCTCAGCCATGGAACTACCTATCCGGGCAGTGCTTCGACATTGGGGCGTGGTGGGATTATATCGGGGTGACGAATATCTTCACTGATGCTGCGATTATAGCGTATGCAATCCTGATTGTTACTCGCATCCAGGCGCGGTGGAAAAAGAAGGTCACTTTATCCACTGTGTTCGGGCTTCGAATCTTGTGAGTACATCCATCTATATACAGTACTTTGCCTTACTACATTTCTAATAACAGACAAGTGTGATTATCGCAACAATAGGCCAATTAGCATACGCGAACAGAACTATTGATTCGTCGGATCCGATCTCTGGCACCTGGCCTCTGGCGATATGCACGCAGCTCACCCAATGCTTGAGTGTGGTTACCGCCTGCTCCCCTCAATTCAAGCCCTTCTTGGACAGCCTCCGTTCGACGGGCCTTCGAGTTGACGGAATGACGCGCCACGATACCTCCAGCGTTGGATACAACCACTCTTCTACGGGTATTAAGTCGCAACTACAAAGTCAGGACCAAGCCCCCGTTGAGAGTCACGAGATGACTTCGATTGGTCGCAACAAAAGTTATCGCCATACAACAACGATAATCACAGCCAAACGAGACTCAGATGGAGACAGTGATTCAAGCGAGGCTCACATAATCCGTGAAGTTCGCACATGGGCCGTGACTGCGTCGCCGCGGAACTCATTAAGGGAATGTGCGTATTAGGGCACGGGAAGGTTACATTGCCATTCTTTTTATTATTGTTGGTGTTGGAATGGGGCTTTACAACCAAATTGAAAACTCATTCATTCTTTCGGCTCTGTAACATCTCAAATCCTTAACGTGTTCGTACTTTTGTTGGACCCTCACTTGTGGATAAGGGATTAAGGCTATTAGTCTTATCCCTGTTTGGTTGGAGCGCTAAGGATGCGTCGTTGCAACCCCAACTCTCCACCAGCCTCTCCGATACGTTCCAGATTTCGATCTCCACGAAGGATCCACTTCGATACGTACATACATGATTTGACAGGCTCCACCTGCTACGCGGTGGTCTAACCTTGGAATAGCGTGCGCCAACGGCTAACAAGAAGCTAGAAAATCTAGCTTTCCTCATATCCCTGCAAGGTTGCACTTCCGCATCCCTCGGCCTTCAAGGATGCCATGCCTGGCATGCGAAGTGCAGATGCTGCCAATGCTTTTACATAACAGGGGGAAGAAACTCCATAGACATGCACCTGTCGGAATATAGGAAGGCAAAAGCAGCGAACAGGATTTAATCCTTGTTCTATGTTTGTCTCCTGCAGGGCCTCGAGAAATTTCTACATGTAAAGCTTCTTTTCGAAAATCTGTTTCATATTTATCGTTTTCTGTTTCTTTGTTTCTATGCTTCTCTGATTTAATCGTCATCATCCGAACGTCGGAAAATTCATATTTGTGATCGATCAATTCCTACACCTACGCTATGGCTCAACAAGAGCTGAAGCAGATGGGCGCTTCTGTTCTGCAGGAGATTGAGGGGCAACCGCCCCATCAGAACAAGGACGATGTCTATCTGGCCCGTATGGGGAAGCGTCCGGTCTTGCAAGTATGTATTCCATTTTGTTTCAAAGTAGGAGTGGTCACTAATATTGTACAGAGAAACTTCGGTTTGATGTCCATGGTCGGTTTCAGCTGCACTATTCTCATCACTTGGGAAGCCGTAACTACGTAGGTCATGCACTTGCCGTTATCTTTGCATCGAATATCTCTGGCTAAATCACGATTCTACAGTTTATTTCTTCAGTCATTCCAGAAGTATGTGAAAGTCTCAGCCACCATAAGCTTCAGGCGTTTACTAACTCTGTTCTAGTGGCGGTCCAGCCGGTTCAATATATGGATATATTTTCGTCTGGGTCGGTGTTACAGCAACCTTTGTCGTAGTATCTGAGTTGGTATCAATGTATGCTACCTCCCTATCCCGCCCCCTAACGTGATAATCTAAACAACAGGTCTGTAGGGCACCGACATCAGGCGGTCAATACCACTGGTGCTCAATGATGGCACCCAAGTCTGTCATGAAAGTCAGTAGTTATATCACAGGTATGTGAACCGTTTCCAAACCCACCAGAACTCAAACTTACAACACAGTACAGGATGGCTCACAGTCATTGGCTGGCAAGCCACATACGCCACCGGTTTGTATCTGAATGGCAACTTCATCGAGGCGCTAGTCATTCTCACCAATCCCGACTATACGCCTGCACCATGGCGCAAGACCCTTTATTCCTGGGCCACGGCAGTTTTTGCAGCGTCTATCAATATTATTGGAGGCAAGCTGTTGCCTCGGTTTGAGGGGACAATTCTTATCCTTCATATCCTGGGTTTCTTTGCCATTCTCATCCCTTTGACGTATATGGCAGAGCATAAACCTGCTTCGGAGGTATTCACGTACTTTATTAATGAAGGCCATTGGCCGACTCAAGGTCTTTCATTCTTTATCGGCATCATTGGTCCTGTCTTTGCGTTTGCAGGTGGCGATGCAGCAGTACACGTGAGTTGCCCCTTCAAAAATGCAAAATAAGCGGGAAAAGAAAAGAAACATGAAAGGTCCATTACTAACTTGCATCACGACAGATGGTCGAAGAAATGACTAACGCAACAGTGGCCGTCCCCTGGTCCCTAATGCTCACAGTCCTCATCAACGGAACCCTAGGCTTTAGCATGCTAATAGCCCTTTACTTCTGCCTCGGCGACATCGAAACATCCCTAAAATCCCCAACCGGAGTCCCCTTCCTCTCTATCTTCTACCAAGCCACCGAATCAACCGCCGGCACCGCAGCAGCTGGATCCGTGATCCAAGCCATGTGCTGCTGCACAACAGTAGGCATGTTGGCATCCGCCTCGCGCCAATTCTGGTCCTTCTCACGAGACAGAGGTATACCCGGCTGGCGCATCTGGAGCAAAGTAACACCCCCTTTACCCACACCTCCATCCTCACCTCGTCAGCCCAACTAAAGAGACGAACAGGTAACTCCCCGCACCGCAATACCAACCTACACCGTCCTCCTAACCAGCATAATCGGTTGCCTCCTGAACCTCATCAACATCGGCTCCGACGTTGCATTTAACAGCCTCGTCTCAATGTCTACTTCAGGCCTCTACCTCTCCTACATGATCGCCGCAGGCCTTCTCCTGTACAGACGCTGCACAGGAGAAATCAGCCAAGCTAAGAGAAACTCCGAACAAACAATGGTTAATACGGCAGGCGCCAAGCTCGTCTGGGGACCATTTCACCTTCCCGGTATATGGGGGATCGGGATTAATATTTTCTCGTTGATTTATATGTTTATTGCTACGTTCTTTAGCTTTTGGCCCCCGATTAATGATGTTAATTCCGAGTCGATGAATTATAGTGTGGTTGGGACTGGTGGTACGGTGCTGCTTAGTTTGGGGTATTATTTGGTGAGGGCGAGGGGGGTTTACAAGGGGCCTGTTATTGAGATTTAGATGGTGTGGTATAGTGGGTTATGTATATTATGGATAGGTAGAGGTGTGGATGAGTATAATTATTTAAACCCTGGGCTAAGGAAGACCGCATATATCGCAGATGTCACTTATATTACTGCACCTGGGAAAGCCAGTCTCCAAGCAATAGACCAAGGAGACGAAAGTAAGCAAAGGATATTTTCCTTTCGCCCTAATTATCACATTCACCTCCGTGATTGAAAGTCTCTATCTCATTCCTTTACTGCCTTATCAAGAGGGAGTGCCAGTTAGTGGGCTTAGCGCACGCACTACAGCAGCTAGACCAAGGTCCAGGAAGATAAGGACATGTAGATTGCGACATGACAGGCAATATAGTCACGACTGAGCTAAAGCCTGTCTCATCCAACTGTTACCCTGGCAGTTAAAACCGCGTAAATGAGTCTGACCCAGAATATCCCGCTCTTATAACAAGACCAAAATACAGTTGTCAACCAGCTTCGACCCAACATTTTCTACCTCCCCTCCTGCTCCTCGCAATCAATAGATATAAAATTAGTCCACAATCACCTCCTGATCAACCAGCTGACGCTGCCCTCCACCGCACACAACCAGGCTATCAATCCCTCCACCACGCTCTCCGCGCCGGGATATTCTCATCTCTAATCACAGAACTAGCAACCTGCAACACAACCTACTGTTAAATTAATGATAGAATTTAAAACTAAGGATCTGACATAATTACAGGTGATATCATAAAATAAACCATTAGTTAATCTACTATGTATAGAGTGAAGAAGGGCGGCAGTTCCGTTGTATATAGACCTACCTCGTTCATCAAAGGCCAAGATTACCGGTACAAAGTACAGATCTTTTCAAAATTGGCTGACCCCTACACACTTGTCTCTGGTTTCAATCAGGTGGAGTCGGTGGACTAAGCCGCCCCTCGAACCAATCCATATTAATCTTTTACATGGACAATGGAATGATTGTAAAATTCTTTGTAAAGCACAATAGAACCATTCACGGATAATGATGAGATATTATTAAAGCAGACCAGGAAGGGTGAAAATGTATCTGAGTTCTGAAGATAGTGAGCAATAGCAAGCAAAATTCGATGTCATTCTAAGATCTTGTACATTAAGCGTCCCAAGAAACTTTTGAGTCTCTTCAATGGCGGTTCATCAATGTGCAATTGATAGTTCAAAAGCATCTGAACAATCTGGCCACAGCCTCTGGAGTAAGCAGCCTTTAGGGCATTTCCATAAAATCCACCCTGCGCGTTGACATCGGCTCCCTTATCCAACAGTATCTGTACAATCTGGCTATTTCCTCTATAGGCAGCAGCCTGCAGGGCATTTCCATATTCTCCACCCTGCGCGTTGACATCGGCTCCTTTATCCAACAGTATCTGTACAATCTGGCTATAGCCTCTGATAGTAGCAGCCTGCAGGGCATTTCCATACTTTCCGCCCAGAGTATTGATATCGGCTCCTTTATCCAACAGTATCTGCACAATCTGGGTATGCTCCATGG